ACTAAGAGGGCCGATTGCTCTTTCTCTATTCGAGTAGACGTCTAGCTACGAATTCTAAGTCTAGACAATAGCGGTACGTAGGTCGATAAGCGCAGTAATAAGGTGCTTATTAGACGAATACAGGAAGACATTAGCTCGGAGCTTATCGTCGGGCGAGAAGTTAAGAGAGTTAAGAGCACTTAGGAGATCGTTGCTGCTCTGCTAGTACTAATAAATACCCTCGCGGCTGTTGTCGGTCTACTATTAATAATCGATAGCTTAAGGATTGGCTATAGATAGCTATCTAAAGGTCTCGATCGCATTAATAGCTATATTCAATATATCAATTACATTAGTTTCGCCGGCCTTAGAGAGGAAGAGGAACGGGTAAGCCTTATCTAGTATAATAAGATCCCTACCTCGAATGAAGGTCTCTTCGTATAGACGTAATAGGTCGGTTATAACAACCTCGTTATACTAGGACTTTAGAACCTCGTCGGATATAGAGCTAACATCGAGCTCTCGCGGAATATATACGACTTTATCGAAATGCGTTAAATTCCGAGGAGGGATGCCGGTGCTAGCCTTTATTTGAATGCGTACGTTGCCTAGGTTAACCTGTATACGACGACCTACACTAGTGTCCTAATATTCGAAGGCAAGTTTAATAAGGCGGACTATTTAAGGGCAGGGGCATCTACCGGTTGGAAGATACTATTGCTTGTTCGCGTACTAGAGGATTCGTAATTCAGTAGCGGTAATCTCGGCTTTAGTAAGAAATATACGGCGGAAGACTTGCTAAAACACTCTCTCGCCCTCGAAGTCGTTAATGAACCGTCTCTAATAAGCCTTCTAGAGAGGGCGTACAGCGTCTATTAGTTCTTGCTCGTAGTATTAGAAGACTGGTAGAAGAGCTAACTCAACCTTTACCTGCTTTCTAAATTCCCGCTCTAAGTCTTAGTCCGCTAGACGGATCGGCTAAGGAGCTATATTCGGAGATGCTTTTACGGGTGCTTTTGCGGGTGCTTCTAGAGGCGTAGGGGGAGATAATGAAGTTAAGCTCGCTGCCGTAGACGTCGACATAGTTAACGAGATAGAAATAGCGCGTAGACGAGCTAAACGGACAGGATCGGATAGACTAGAACGTACCTGTTAACGTAGCGCAAGCTAAGCACGACGCTCCTCTTACTAGATTTGCTCGATAAAGAGTAATCGATCTATATCTATATCAACTTCGCGAATTAGCAATAGCTAGCGGCGTACTTTAGGCAAAGGATAATAAACCCAACCCGATGCTAGCGGGAAGCCCTAACTTAGAATCTCTTCGTCGTTTAACTGCGAGCCGACTAGCTTAGTAGCATTAGGCTCACTATCGACGTCTATAGAATCGTTATCTTTACTAGGGAGAGGCAAGTCTAATAGAGTCTAGATTGGCGTGTCATCGTCGTTATTACGGTAATCGGAAGGGAGTAGCTACTAATTGAGCGCTATACGGAAGTTGTCGGACAGGTTAGCGAAGGCACTTCTAATACTGCTAAAAAGACGAGAAGATAGTATAGGGGTATCTAGTAGCTTAGAAAGAAACTAAGACTAGCGGCGCTATTTATCGAGTAGGCGCATACGTTGTATATTGCCGGCGAGATTTCGTATACGCTCGAGATCGAAGGGTTCCTCGAGCATTAGTCCGGCAAAGGTCTTAATACGGGAGAAAGCTACATATATAAGCCTAGCAGAGAAGTCTTTTAGACTAAGCTTAATAACGGCTCTATCGAGAGTTATGCCCTAAGCTTTATAGACTGTTAAAGCGTACGAGACCGTTAGAGGAAATTGCTTACGCTAGTCGTCGTCTTGCCTATTAACATTACGCCGAACTCGAAAGATAGGGAGAATCTTACGCGAACCAACATTGAACAAAGCGGGTACGTTATCTTTAAGGCCCTCGAATACAACCAAAAGACATAGAGGTAGTTCCTTTCGTAGGTTCTTATTACGAGCGGACTTAGGCCAGATAATGTCGTATAGAATACCCTACTTGCCGTTGACTATAGCGAATTCAGTCCAAAGATTAGTAAGAAGCATAACTTTGCACCTAATTAATACCTTGAGAATATTCTCGAGGTTGTAGACACCTTTTAAGCTAATACTAGCGACATCCGGTCGATTGTATAAAGCCTAGATCGGTAGAACAGGATTCCCTATATCTCGGAGCTTCTAGTAGTTTAGATCGTTGACATCCGCATTAGTAAAGTAGATACGGGTAGCGTCCTCGAATTTCCGACGCTCTGCTAGATTAGTGATATTAGCGCGCTGCATAAGAGTCTGCTAGTATAGCATTTGAGCTATACTAGTACGAAGAGAGGCGAGGGCTGCTCGGAAAGCAACCTAATCCGGATCGTTACCCTCTTGCCGCATATTAGCCTATAGAAGAAGGGATTTAGTGAACGTATAATAGGCTGCTTGACCTGCGATATCTTCTGCTGTCTTTAGTACAGTGTAGAACAGGGGCTTCTAGAACACCGGAGTTAACTAACAAAAGTCTCTAAAGATAACTATATTTATGCTACCGTAAGGTTGTTGTTTATCTAGACATTGCCGTAGCCGCTAATTAAGCATCTAAAGGAGAGGTTAGCTAACTATTGATTTCTCGTCGACAATAATGTACCGCATAGGTCGTAGTATATTCTCTATACGGGTGAGACGCGCTCCTGCGAGATCCGGCATACTAGCCTTGCTAACTCGAACAGGCAGCTTAAAGGCGGAATGCAACGTAGACCCGTTAATATTCGTAGCGGCTATACTAGTAGGTACGAGGCGGATAACCGGATTGCTACGATAGCCAGCGCTCTTAGCTAGAGTCTAAAGACGAGTACAGATTATCTTAATAAGGAATGACTTGCTAGTTCTACCTACTCCGTCAATATTCAATAGTAATAGCGCAGGATAATCTCCGGCAAGCGTAGATTCAAAGTAGTTAACCACTTTATCGAAGCCCTATCGCTAATAACGATTTAGTTTACTAAACTAGGCTATTAACTGTAACTATATATCGAGATCTACGGCACTATAGGCAATCTTCTAGTTCTGCTACTAGTTTTAATCGGTATTATAAATCTTAGGATATTCATTGATATACTTGCTAATACGAGGCTCCTAGTAGGCGGACCTATCAAGCTTACGGTCTCTAAGGTTGTTAGGATCCTTATCGCGAACACCGGGGTTTAGAGAGGGGCTACAAAGGGCATCGAAGTTAGTAGGTTCGCCGATATCCTACAACTGTAGATCGATAAATTAGTTATAGTCTGCACGGTCAATCTCCTATAGGTAGTCGTATAGATGTAAGTAGTTGTCTCGGCAATGCTAGAATGCTGCATCCTAACTGTAAAATTTAGTGTTATTGTCGTCTAGAAAGGAGTATAGTTGCTGTAGGGAGCAATACGGAAGCTCGCGGAACGGATAATGCATCTATATCTTTACACGCTAGTATTGCCCGTAGTTAGTCTTAGCTAGATCGGAAGGATATCGAGGGAAGTAGTTAATTAGTCGACCGTCCCTCTCGACATTACGTAGCCGACTAGGAGTGCCGCGGCGTTAAACATTCCATTCCGTTAAGTACTAAAACAGCGAGACGTCCTCGGCTAATTCTAGACGCGTTAAGTACTTCTGCATTATAGTTTTGCTAGGTGCTCGGCGGCGCTAGCCGTCTGTATATTCCTCCTCGGCAGCATTAACACTAGGATCTCTAATCTCGATATCGTAGTTAGGATTGTTGTCTTAAAGGTCGAGTAGGGCAGTCTACTCGGTTTGCGGCCGACAGTCCAAAGTGACGACGGTACGACTACCCTTCTATAGAGGTAAATAAAGATTCAAATAAGCAACCTCCTATACAGGCCAATCTCGTTCTGTAATTAGAATGTTAAGTAGCTTAGCAACTATAGATAGCAATGGCTTCTAGTAGTTAATAAGAGGTAAGAGACCTGTTATAATATTATCGTAGGATCGGCTCTTTACTTTAGTCTTGCTATAGTATTTGAGGATGTACTACATTACTGTATAAACTGTAGTACAAGGTGTGATATCGCAATTCGCACGCTAGGCCATCGACTCGACACGATTAAAGTAATTTATAAAGGAATTATTGCAGGTAGCAGTAAAGCTAAGGTAACGATTGTTGTGCTTATAATTAACATTAGCTAACTCTCAGTGCGTACGAGGGAAATAGAACCGACACGATGCTTCTCTATCTAGATCATCCTTGCGTTTTGCCTAGCAATAGTTACTATAGACGTGTCGTTAGACTCGGTTAACAATGTTAGCAAGGTCGGCTTAGTTATTGTCGAGCTTATTAGTGTCAGCCTAAATAGTAGCGCCCTATCCAAGGTCCCTACTAGGCTCTAGATTAAGTGCCGTAATATAGACACCCCATTGCTAAGCAAACGCTTCTCGGGCTTTAGCAGTATCAACACTAGGCTTTAGGAGGTCGCACTATAAGAAGAAGTGGACGTGATAGCTACTACGGTTCTACTATTCGAATCGGTACTAGTAGTCGACAACATTGAACTTAGGCTTAAGTACCTTATCTAGAAGCTGCTAGAACCGACGCTAAACGTAAGTATTAGCAATGTGTAGAAACTTGCGTAGATTCTAGCGAGCTATTTTAACACGCTCGTAAGGACCTAGTCGTTTCTATCGGTCGTATCTAGGCATAAGCCGAGCTAAGGAATCCTATTGTAGGTTAGCAGCACTAACGGTACAGAATAAATCAGGCTTCCCGAGGGCTCGAACATAGGTCTCTAAGTTAATGCGGCGGCCATTCTAGTATAGTCGAGTACTACGGATCTGCCTACTAACACGGACGATCGAATTTAAGAGCCGCTAAGCGCCCTTATCCGCCTTTAGATTAGCGGCTAAAGCAGCCTTAAGGATCTCTATAGTGACTTCTGTTCCATCGTCTTAGTACTTGTTAGCAAAGAATGCCGCTGCTTTAAGTACGTAGTAACGTATGCCTTTGTTAAAAACAAAGTATGGCTAGCGCTCGTGACTCGCAAATCGACTATCGTAGTATCGCATATAGTAATCGATAGCCTAGTCCTATGTTACACTGCGAGGTCGGGGCTAATTCGGATCGCCCTTACCCTATAGTAACAGAGTAGGAAACGCTATAGCTATAAGCGGATAAGATCTATCGAGCTTATTAATAGGAACCTTATCGTAATCTAGCTAAGTGATATAAGACAACTGCGGAGGCTGTTAAGGCGTAGGGAATTCTAATAGACCTGCGACAGTTTGCTCGGCACGGCGGCGGCGAAGGCAGTCCTACAACTAACTAAGTGCACGATGCTTAGGGTAAAGATTAGGAACTGCTGTATGCTTATAACTAAGATATTTATCGGCATTAGGCTCACTAGCGCCCTATATAGGGCCAACATCAAATCTAGGATTAAACGCAGGTGTAGGCGATATAAGAATTGATGCCGGTAGTCTCGGAGCGGCTAGCTAAATAGGGAGCGTAGGCATACGAATGTGTACAATACACTCGGCCTTATTTAACAGAGCGGCGTTGTACTAATTGACATCTACTAGGATACTAAGGGTAGTGTATAAGAACTGATTACGAGGAGCCTTATAGGCGCTAGCGATATACCACTTGAGTTTAGCGTAGTAGTTCAGGTCGACAATACCGTATACGCACTACACACACTTATGCTATATGCGCTGCTCCGGAGGAAGGTTGCTATCGTAGTAAGACCGCTACTAAACGCTTCGAGGGAATCCGCAACTATAGTACGGGAACTATCTATCGTCGGTCTTAGGGCTAGCAATAACAATTCTATGTATTAGACTCTAGACAGTAGGGGGCGAACTCGGAGGGTGCGTAGCATCCTTAGGAATAGCGGCATGCTCGTTATACTCGGCAGATTTAAGCTAGTCTTCGATAGTGTTGTCCTCTAGCAGTTGACTTAAAGCCTTATCGTTAACGAGAATGTCGCGATAGTAGGGGTTATTCTACTTCAACTATTGTAGCGTACTAAGGACTTTGCCTCGACGTACGCGAAAGTCTTCCCGGAATTAACGTCGCTTCCGCTTATAGTCTTTAGTCGCTACCGTAGGATCTGCTGCTATCGCATCGTCCTAATTAGTTTGCGGCTTCTAACGCGGTCGTAATACAACTAAGTCTAGCTCTTGTGGTATCCGAGGTAGCTTATAATAGACCGTAATAACATCTTTAAGAAAGTTGCAGATATAGCTACGATACTTCTACTACTAACCTCGTATACAGAATACTAACATCTGTACGTATACACGTGCAATAAGGAGTTCTTTAGTAGTAGAAAGCCCCGAAAGCTCTTCCGGAATACGACTAGGATCTATGTTGTTTGCATTAGTAAATAGGAATAGGTCGCCTAGTTGTATCTTACTTAGATAATCTCGATTAACATACCGGCTGCAAATGCTATAGTTCTTAGCTAAGTTTATACTAAACTAGCGCTTATAGCATCGATTACAAGTCTCTAATGTGTTATTATCGATCCTAGTATAGAAATCTACTAGGAGGGACTTATCGAACGCGTCGAGGGCGGCGGTAGCTTACTACTAATCAACTAAGACTAGTTTAGGCTCCTAGTGATTAAGGAAGCGAGTTCTCCGATCTTAACGCTAACGTACATTACGCGATACCGTAGCGCGAGGTGCTTATAGAGATTGCTACCGAGACGACGGCTACTAAGACGACGGCTACTAAGACGACGGCTACTAAGACGACGGCTGCTAAGACGATAGCGGCTACGAGGAAGGGCTAAGTGATATAGACCCGCTAGATGCTTACGATACGTCGTAAAGACTCGACTAGAGTAGTTAACTAGGCGTCGAGAGGAAGAACGGTAGCGAAGCCTAGATAGGACTAGGACCTCTAGTACCGCTAGAACCGCTAGCACTTGGAGTAGCTGCAATACTAGCTATTGCATAGAGTCGGGGCTAGTGTACGTAGCAACAATTAGTTAGCTCTAGAGCATTAGGGCGAAGAAAGTTCTAGCGGGTGCTATTGTAATTCTTAAAGATGTACTACTTATTCTTAGTCGTTAAGTCATCGCCTATAGTTATTATATCGCAATATACGCATTAATCTTCTACTTCGCCTGCTTAATCTTCTTATAGGCGAGGATAACCGCAATCTATACACTAAAACTACAGCTTACTAGAAATTTCCTATAGTTAAGTCTGCTATATTAGGGTCTGTAATATTAGGGTATGCGGTATATACGGTGTCTGCGGTATCTGCGGTATATACGGTGTCTGCGGTGTCTAACGTACTTTATGTCTAGCTTAACGTGCGGCCGCCGATTGAGCCTACTATAGAGAGTGTATATTTAGACTTAGTTAACTTAAGGGATAATAGGGCCGGATATTTATATTAGGAGCTGCAGGAAGAATCGTACGCGGGACTTGAGAGGCAGTCGGGTTCGAAATGCTAGCATAGCTTGCTATACGCTTATTAAGCTTAGTAATCTCCTAGTTGCCGAGCCTACTAATCTAAACACTATATCTACGGTATTCTGCATATCGATTGACGGGCGGTCTATTCTTCTTCTTAACGCCTATATACTAGATCGTAGCTTTATTAGTTAAACAGTAGTCGTAGCGCATCGTAGGCGGCTATTATCGATCGGGCGGAAATAGCTATAGAGGTTGCTATAGAGGCAATAGCGGCGGCGGTATATCGGAAGGAAGGGTCGGTAGAGTAGTAGGAAGGGGCGGCATATTAGTAGGAAGGGACGGCGGCGGTAGAGGGCGCACTTAGCTTAACGATAGGTTCGCTTTAGGCTAGTGCGATATAGGGGTATTCTTCTCTCCTAGCGCTATTACGGAGATGTTGTTAGATCGTAGGACGTATATAGCTCGAGGTGTATTGCGAGTAGGTAGTGTTTGTATAGGGAAGGGGAAGGGGAAAGGGAAGAAGAAAGCGGAAGCGACATAAGCGGAGTAGCGACGTAACGTAAGAACGGAGCCTGCCGAAAGTGAATGTGCCTACTTTTATATATAAGGTCCCGTCGGTTAGCGGCATCTACGCGTTTCTATATAGTACTAAAGAAGGATAATTGCACTACTCTTTATAAGCGTTATTTGGATTCTGTAGCCCTTTGCTAACGATAGCGTTCCGGACAGGTTAAGTACTCGCTAGGGCTCGACTAAACCGCCCTCCACTTTAGTACCCTTATCTTTTCGTCCGACGTTAGCGTTCCGGACAGGTTAAGCACTCGCTAGGGCTCGACTAAACCGCCCTCTACTTTGGTACCCTTATCTTTTCGTCCGACGTTAGCGTTCCGGACAGGTTGAGCACTCGCTAAGGCTCGACTAAACCGCCCTCTACTTTAGTACCCTTATCTTTTCGTCCGACGTTAGCGTTCCGGACAAGTTGAACACTCGCTAAGGCTCGGTCTTAACTTGCCCTATACTTTAATTCCCTCCTCTTTTCGTCCGACATTAGCGTTCCGGACGCTATCGTTATCGTATTAATTACTTTTGCTAGCGTAGTTTTGCTAGAAACACGCTCAATCGACTTAACTTAGTAGGCTTCGGAGGGAAGAAGTTTAGGTACTAGTTTAGGTGCTACTTTGGGTGCTACTTTAGGTATATAGCAATGTTACTGTCGGCGTTAACTTAATGTTAATAATATAGCTTCTAGATAGGGGATTAAACACTCAACTAGTATACTATTCAAACCTCACTTCTACCTGCCTCCCCCTTCTAACTAAGCCATTACCGTAGGCAGCAGCAATAAGGGTAAGCAATAAGGGTATATAATAGCACTGCAATTCACGACCTTTAACTAATAACAATCAACCGATAACGAAGCGACGCCTAGCTACAACTAGGTAAGGAGTTGTAGTAATCCTTTACGCCTAGTTATTAAGTTACGTAGGGAACCTAAGGGATTTAGGCTTCGGCCTTTTCTAAGGCAGCTAGCAGCCTAATAAACCAGCGGCGGGTCCTGCCTTATGCTACCCTAAAGAAATTAGTCCGCCTAGTTTTCTGTAGCGGCACTTCTTCGGAAGTGTATAAGGTCGAAGTCTAGTAGGCATGTTTACTTAGTTGATTCGTAACTTGTCTTAAAGGGTCGTATACTCGAGGTCTATATCGTATCCGCAAGAGTGACTCCGGGTATTGCCCGTCTATAGTTTTTTGCCTTTTAGTATTCTTCTTTTTTTAGCCTCGGGTACGGTATGCGGTGTACGGTATACGCTACGTATTATACTTCTTCCTTCTGTCTTTTTTTTACTAGTACTGCAAGACTAGCCTTAGCTGCTAGTAGTAGTGCTACATCTATCTCTTTGTATTTAGTCTCCTTAATTGTTATTAGGGTGCAATCGCTAGAGTAGGTACAGTTTCGTAAGGTCTGCTAAGGTCTGCTAAGGTCTGCTAAGGTCTACTAGGGTCTGCTAAGGTCTGCTACCGGGGTCGCTATAGGGTGCGTATCGTATTATTGTCGCGTACGGTTAGCCTATAGTGTTAACGCATCGTGTCGCATTTGGTGGTTAGAGGTGAAGCGTAAGAAGCCTACCTAAGGCTCTGTTAGAACCGGGGCTAGCTCCGAAAGTCTCTACTTGTAGAAGTTGACTAATTAGGTATGTAGGATTCTGAAATCCGGGGTTGGCTTAGCGTTACGTATAGCTGAGTGTACATTTAGCAACGTAGAGTAGTACCCTCCTTGCTATTGTAAGGCGAGCTTCGCTCGCAACTAGGTTATAGAAGGAGTAGGCTACCTCGCAAACTATATAGAGGCAGCGAGTTATTTCGCCGGACTAATCGCCGACATATTCGAGCGTTGTAAGGCAGATCTAAGGTAGAGAATTGTCGAAGACCTCGAGTCTATCTACGACATCTTCCCTAAACCCTACCCGGCGCTAATTCTTTAGGGCGAATAGCTAAAAATATAGCGCTCGATATATATATAGCTAATCGCGGCGCTTATAGACGACGAGAAGTAGCAATTAGAATACAGCGATATTACTAGGGATTTCGAGCGCGTTATCCGCAACTTTTAGATATAGTTAGGCCGTTTCCCGCTAGGCCTACGCGCCCTACTAATAGACCTAATGTTAAGTCTTGCACCGGCTACCTAAGGTATAATCTTTTAGGATATTCCTTTAGCCTACTACGAAGAGAAGGCTAAGGCGATAACGAAAGACGGATACTAACGCCTAGCGACACTACTATATCCCGACTATATAAAGTAGAAAAAAGCAATCGACTAGAGGATATCTATATAGACTAAGAAATTCAAGGCCAAACTCTAAGAACAGAAGGCCTAGGAGCAGGCCGACGCAAAGGCCTAGAAAGCGGCCTAGAAAGCCGCGAAAGTGTAGAAGGCCGCCTCTACCTCGATAGCTAGAAAGCGTAAGGATGTACCTACGTCGGCCCTAGCCGCCGCTAAAAAGGCTAAGTCTACTAAAGCCGACAATAGCAAAGCCGACCCGCTAACTACTACTAAAAAGGCTAAGTCGACTAAAGCCGACCCGCTAACTGCTACTAAAAAGGCTAAGTCTACTAAAGCCGACGATAGCAAAGCCGACCCGGGTACCGGGAAAGGCAAATCTATAAAGGCGCCCGCCGGGAAGGCCGCAATAGTAGGAAAGGCTAAGTCTACTAAAGCGTAAGCCGCGAAATCCATAGCGGCGCCGAAGAAAGCAACCGATATAGGCAATTTAGACTTAGGCAAACCTATAACTCGCGTAGACAAGGAGATCGTAGACGCCGCTATCTACGTAGGACTAGCTCCCTAAGGACTCCTTACGGATTCGACGATCCGCCTCCCTACGAGCCGTTTCGACTTTCCGAGACTTATAACAGCTTTCCGTAACGCAGACTTAGAGCGGGTGCTACCCGGTAACAAGCTACGTCTATTAAGGGAGTAGGAGAAGGATTTCATCCGCCGCTCCGTAGCTTTTTACGAACTTAATATCGATGCTAGCTAGCTTATCCTCGCGATGTTCCTAGATAAAGAATAGAAAGCCTACCTCTACTATCTAATGCTAGTCGTATCAAAATTCAACTACGAGTACGGAAACATTCACTTCTAGGTCTCCTAAATGCTAGTATCCGCTTAGGACAAGATCGGGAAAATTAATAAAGCCGACCCTTTCCCGAATCGAGATTTCGTTACTAGCATATCTAGAGACGATAGAGACGTAGACATAAACGCTTTCCGTACCTAGACGAACTAGATGCTAAGTTACGCCCCTAAGCAAATAATAAACGTTATTTAACAAAACGGCGACCGCTTAATGCTTTACTTAATAAGCAAGCTCCTTATATCGGCGGTGCCCTTGCTATTAAAAGCCGCCGTCCTTCGATACTAGATAAAGGCGCTCGTCCTAATAGACGGGAATAACGAGATCTAGCCTATACCTTAGGCGACTATCGTTTACTATAAGGGAGATAACGACGTTAGATAGCTGCTTAAGCACTTTACGCGGGAACTCGACGACTAAAGCGGCGGACGGCCGCTATAGCAAATCGCGACTAAGGATACCGGGTACTCTAGGTCTACTATAGACAACGCGTTTCGGCCCCCTAGGGAGGATATTCTCGATAAGCTCGAGGCCGTAAAACAGCTATATTTCGCGGAGCTAATATATACCCGCCCCGTAAAGACAGTCTAGCAAATTCCGCCGGAGCCTACGTCTATCGACGATAGCCGTACCTTGCTAATCGAGGCGATACGCAACTATAGATAGAACGACGACGACTTTCGGAAGGCATTAGCTACGTTATAAGGAAATTAGTAGGAGGACACCGACCCGCAAGAATTCAAGCAATGCGTCGGCCTCCTTATAAGAGCCGTCGGCGACGCGCTTAAAGACAGCGGCTGCGATTAAGTAATAGACGACGAAGACCTCGCCGAACTAAACGCCGACGAGAGGTTATAGTACAAGAGATGTATCGCGCTATATTAGAAGTTCGGCACCGCGTTTGCCTAACTACTAGAAGAGAATTAGAGAGAGGTTGTAGACTACGGCAACTAATTCGACTAGGAAGGTACCGAATAGGACGGCAAATTCGACCCTACTAGCCTCGATAACATTATAGAGTTTATAAATATACTCGCCGATTTCTAGTTAGAAGACGGCACTATTAAATACGATAACGAAGACGAGCCGACCCTAAGTCTACCCCTAATTATCGATTCTATCTAGCGTACATCTAAAGAACCTAACTCCGCTGCGAATGCGATTAAGGCTATAAAAGACCTGCCGCTACTATAGTACCTTAGATAAGAGGAAAGCGACCTTTTCAAACTACTTGCCGCGCTCTATAGATTAGCACGACCGAGCGGCGATAAGGGCCTACGTAAGGCGCTCGGAAAACTTACCGTAGAGACTTTTAATAGTCTGTATCCTACTAACAAGAAAAAGGGCCTCTGCTTTCTAGAACTGCGCCCTCTATAGCAAGGAGAACCCGATAACGAGTATCCTAGAGACCCCGCAGTTAGCGAACAGTAGTGCTTCTTACACTCTCGCGCGTTAACGACCTAGCTAGAGGAAATAGGATATTAAGTATTAGCGGGCAAGGAAGAATAGGGATAGCGAGACGAAAACTAGGGGCGCATAGCCTAAAATCTCTTTTGTTATACATGCAGATACTAAGTCTACCGTCCGCGTAGTCGCGGACATTTCGGGACCGGGGGATTCTATTACGAAGGCAGGCATAGGCATAGGCTAGGTAGGAGGCCCTAGCCTCCTATAGTACATACTTCTCTAAGCCTAGATAGACTTGGAATAATTATCCACTTTATAATACACGATATATAACACCGAGGGAGGAGCTATCCTAGTACTTAATATTATCGAATAGTTCGGTAGGAAAGTATATAAACTTCTTAAGGAGGAGGACTTCTAGGGAAATCGATAAGTTCTACCTAGATCTAGATAAAGACATTCTACTAAGCAGTTAGGGAATTGAACCGTAAACGAAAGGATGAAATTTATACCTAAGGAGTACAGTTTCCGAACTGAACTATAATGCCTTATATGTATATGTATATGCTTTTAATTAGTTAGTGCCCTTAGCTAATTGTCTATAGATTTGAGGTTATATAAGTACCTTTATACAACTACGTAGCCTAAGTAGGATTCGAAAATTCTATAAGTACTAAGGACTAAAAATGCCGGCTACGCTGCCGGCTACACTGCTAAGTCTTACAAAGGGCTTGCTTAAAGCTACGTATACATTCGTACACTTCTTAAAAACCGATAAATTATATAGTTCGAACTAGCTACTTATATAGTTGCTTAGCAAACCAACCTAAACCAAACTAGAGTTTCGGCTTAGCAAACCAAACTAAACCAACCCGAACTACTGCGGGGTCTATGCTAGACACCCTTAGAAACCCTATACTAAGGCAATAATACGCTTAGGACTAGTACCTTCGAGCTAAATAAAAGACTAATCAATCGGCTCGCTTATTTAAAGCCTATTTAAAGACCCTCGAGGACGACCTTCCGGCTAAAACTAATTCTATATAGATCTCCGAAATACGCCCTAAATTGAGATAGGAATTGGTCCTTAAATTGGACCGCCGCCGTGTATTCGAACAGACTAATCTAATACGTATTCAATTTATAGTTAAAGTAGAAATAGCTAAACGAGCTATTTAGCTTTAGTAACGGCTAGAGTCGAGGATCCGACCGACTAGTACTAACCGTAGCAACCGTAGTAGCCGCGCAGGAAATCAAGGTTCCTACTAAGACAATAATGCTAATAATAGGAATAGTAACGACCGTAGAAGAGGCCGTAGCCGACGGCTATATAGAGGAGGCTATAATAGGGGCCGTAGAAGGGGCTCGTATCCCTATAATACTAATCGCTTAACTAACAATAGCAGCAATAGCGGCTATAGCAATCCCCTAACCGGGTTAAAGTGCTTTAACTATAATAGCACTAGCTATCTCCTAGGCTAATACGATAAACCTAAGGACTAGGCCCGAATCGACCGTACTACCGCTAAGTACCGAAAGCACCTTTTAGCCGCTAATACTACCCCTATCGGTCCTCCCTATTAGTCGAAAAAAGAATAAGCGCTATACTAACTGTTAGCCTCGTATAGCGTAAAACTATCGATATTGTACTAGCTATAATACGCTCCTACCTTATATAGGATACGAAGGGCACTAACTATTAAACTAAGGTTATGCTAGACCCGGGAAATTCGGTTAGTGCCCTTATTAGCTATCGCCTAGCTAAGCAATTAGACCTTCGACAATTAAATAGGGCTAACCTACTAACCCTTGCTTAGTTTAATAACGCTCGGCACTTAACCTATAGGGCCTACTACATTCCTATAGTTCTAAAGGACGACCTCGGAAATGAACGCCTACTAGACTTTACTACCTATATAGTAGATATAGACAACCTATATAGGGGAGCTACTATTATTATTAGCAACCCTATCCTTAAGCACTATACTATCGCTATAGACTTAGGCAGTTAATAATAGCGATTTAGAATCGCTAGGAAAGAGGACATCGAATACATTAATGTTAGCGAGTGCCCTAATAATATTAGGGTCCTATTTATTAGCAACCTAACCCTAGCTAACCTAACGGTCGACCTATTAGGGGATAACGATAAACCTATACCCCCTAATAGTATAGACCCTAATCAACTCGCTCGCATCCTATAGCCTATTCGAGAGACCTATATTAATATATTCAAACACTACCTAGTATCGATATTGCCTATGTTTAAGGAGACGGACTATAAGATCGATATTATATAGGGCAAGGAGGTTCCTTTTAGGCCCCTCTACAACCTTAGTAAACGAGAGCTTGCTATACTACGTAAGTACCTAGATAAGAACCTAGCTAATAGTCGAATTTAGTATAGCAATAGCCCTGCTAGTGTACCTATCCTATTCGTGCTAAAGAAGGATAGCGGCCTGCGTTTATATATTAATTATAGAGGGCTTAATGCTGTTACTATTAAAGACCGCTGTCTACTTCCGCTTATTAATAAGACCCTCGATCGCCTTTCTAGCGCCTACTTCTATACTATATTAGACATTAAGGACGCCTATTACCGCATCCGCATTCGTAAGGGTAATAAATAGAAGACAGCCTTCCGCACTCGCTATAGCTATTTTAAGTACTTAGTTATGCTATTTAGCCTAGCTAATGCCCCTATAACATTCTAGTCCTACATTAATCGGGCCCTATTAGGCCTATTAGACTACCTCTGCGTAGTCTATCTAGACGATATCCTAGTCTATACCTACTTACCTAACATTGCGGAATATTAGGCTACCGTACGTAAGGTACTCGACCGCCTACGGGCCTATAGCTTATACTATAAACCCTCTAAATGCACCTTTGCTACTAAAGAGGTGCCCTTCCTTAGCTTCCTTATATCAACTAATAGTATAAAGGCTAACCCTAATCGGATCAAAACTATTACTAAGTAGCTAACGCCTACTAGTATTAAAGAGCTTTAATCGTTCCTAGGTTTTGCTAACTTTTACCGCCGTTTTATTAAGGGCTATTCGAGGCATATAATGCTACTTACTAAGCTTACTAAGACTAAGGCAAACCCTTCTAGAGAGTTCAAATAGACTAATAGAGCACAAGCCGCTTTTAACGGTCTAAAGCAACGCTTTACTAAAGTCCCCCTATTGCACTATTTTATACTAAGCAAGTAGATCTATATTAAGACTAACGCTTTATAGTTCGCTATATTAGCTATTATATTATAACAGGCTAATAATACCTACTAGCACCTAATTGCCTTCTTCTCGAGAAAGATAATTAACGCTAAGCGTCGCTACGAGACCTACGAGCAAGAATTGCTAGCTATTATCGAGGCCTTTAAGTATTAGAGGCACTACCTCGATAGGGCCTAATATAGGATTTAGGTCTATATAGACTATAACAACCTCCGTAGCATTACTAAGGTTACTAGGGTTATAGGTCGATAGGCTAGATAGGCCGTCTACTTCGCCGGGTTCGATTTTAATATATTATATCGGCTAGGCGTAAGTAACCCTACTAATAGCCTATCGAGGCGACCTAATTACAATAGCGAGACTTAGCAATCTATTAATTTATTGTTTCTAACCCTATAGTATAAGATTGCTATAGCCTATATTGTTAATAAGTAAGCGTAGGATAAGCGGCTTACCGGACTCCGCGACGGCTCGAAGCATATTAATACTCTTACTATATTAATAGTGCGTATTAAGGACATAGATAGGAGAAGTTATAATAACTCCCTAGTCGATATCGCTATATATAGTAATAGCGATTAAAGCACTACTATAGTTAATCCGGCTACTAGTGCTATTAGATACATATAATACGTACCTCGTTTAATAGCGAGGGTGCTATTAAATAACCTTGCAAATAGGGATAGTTAATCGTTTATAGATAAGCTATTACGGGCTTAGTAGAGGGACGCCTTTGCTGCTAAACGTATCGACAAGCTTATAAGTAGGCGAAAGACTCGATCTAGTAAGAGTAATAATAATTAGTCGATCGACGATAAGGGTTACTTAAAGTTCAAGGGCAGATACTATATCCCCGCTAAACAATCGATTAGATAAGAGCTTCTTAAGCGACACTATAATAGTAAGCTTGCTAGTTACTATAGTATAGAGAGGTCGTACGAGCTACTATCGCTTATATACTACTAGCTAAATAGTAAGCGGGACATAAAGGAATACGTTAATACGTATACCGTATGCTAACATATTAAGGTACTAAAGCATTAGCCTTTTAGCGAGTTGTCCTTATTGCTAATCCCTTATAAGCCATTTACAGAGCTTATAATAGATTTCATTATAGGTCTTCCCCCTACTAAGCGAAGGGGAAGCAAAGACATCTTTAACGCTATCCTAGTCGTTATAGACTAGTTTACTAAGGGCGCTCGATACGTCCCGGCGCGGAAAGATTAGACTACTATTAATATAGCAGAAGCGCTATAGAACAACATCTTCTATACCTATTAGGGGACCCCTAAAGGGATAGTCTCTAACCGAGGCTCGATATTTATATCTTATTATTAGAGTAAGATATGCCTGTAACTAAGACTTAAGCATCGCCTGTCTATAGCATTCTATCTATAAATAGATAGCTAAACCGAGAAGCAAAATGCTACCCTATAGTAGTACCTACGTAGCTACATTAATAAAAACCCTAACGACTAGGTTAACCTCCTATAACTAGCTGAATTCGTATATAATAACAGTATCTACTTATTAACTAAGGTATCGCCGTATATAGCTATAATAGGCCAAAACGCTGCCTTACTATAAGATCCATTTACCTCGCTCGAGGCCGAGCGTAAGGAAAGGGAAGCGCGTTAAGCCCCTAAAACACTAGCGGCTATAGAGAGGGTTTAAAAGATGCGAGAAATTTACGCTATAATAGCTAACAAACTAGCAAAGGCCTAGGCCTATTAGAAGGCCTACTATAACAAACACTATACGCTAATAACCTTTAAATAAGGCGATATAGTTATACTTAGTACGAAGAACCTCCGTATCCGCAAATACCTATTACCTAATAGCAAAACAAGGCCTAAGCTCGCACTAAGATATATTAGCCTATTCCGCATCCGAGAACCGAAGGGTAATAGCTAGGCCTACTAGTTGTAGCTCCCTCCTTATTATACTATCTATAACACCTTCTACGTATCCCTCCTTAAGCCGTACTACCTACGTAAAGAGGATAAAGCACCTACTAAATCTAAGGATATACTAGCTAATAGCGAAGAGCTGTAGTCTATAGAACGTATTCTAAAGCACCGGATTAGGCAAGGCAAGAAGGAATACCTCCTAAGATAGCAAGGCTACCTACCTAAATAGGACTCGTAGGAAGCTAAAGCCTCTTTTAAAGATATAACTAAGTTGTTAGATAAATATTAGACTAGTGTAAAGAATAAGAAGAAGGCTAAGGGCCTATAATGTCGCCTAGGAACAATGCTACCCCCGGGGTGCTATTAGCTAACTAATTAGAGGCCGGCAAACTAGGACAATAAGACTACACTACTATAGCGAACGCGTACCGAGCATTAATAACGCGCTATAATACGTTAGCTAATCGCCCGCTCTTTTAAGGACTCTACCTCTTTACTAACGTACCCTATAGGTCCCCCTCTTATTCCTTCCTTCTAACGAGGCCTCGAGGCCTAGGCGGTCGGCAAAGGCGGCGCGCGCGTAAGCGAATAGTGCTAGCAATAATAATAATAGCGCCGTAGCATAAGTAGCGATATACCGAAGGGCGGCACGGCTAGCGCGGCTATATTAGTAATAGTATTACAGAGTATGTCGCTAGTTAAAGTATTACTAGTCGAAGGAAATTAAGAGTAAGGTAAAGTTAGCGCTAAGACGACTAGCGCCGCTATTATTAACCTATTATTACTACGCCTACGGATACAACCTTACCTATACTACGAGCCTAAGGCACCTTTAATTAAAACTTTAATTAAAACTTTAAGCCGCCTAAAAGATTAAGCGACTAATAGACTAACTAAGGGCAAAACTATAGAGCTAAGCTAGCCGGGGTCGATCTTACGGACAATAGGTTACTCCTCGATCTTTCTAACCCTTTAAGCGAGGCGAACCTTAACTACTACACTTATAATAGCCTTTACTTATAGAAACTAGACGAGCTGTATTTTTTTCTAAAAAGATAAGATAAGATTAACAATTGAAGGCTACTAAACCTAACTAATTAGGGCTAGCGAAACTACGAACAATAATAGCCCTCGTAATAATAAGAACAAACCCTCGGAAGCGGACAACCCTCGGAAGCGGATATAGCTAGGTCTTTTAGAGTAGACGCAAAGAACTCGGAACGATATTACTTAGAGCGGAGGCAGTGCTATAATACCTCGTACGTCTACCTATTATAGTAGGGAAGACGCGCCTATATTATAATTAGTCGATAGCCCTTAATTCTTATAGCTTTATATCCCTTTACTTTATTATATATAAGGATAGCGCAGTTAGAGTTAGATATTATATTAGAAGGTAAGGTTTGACATAGTTATATAATTAGGTAGTTAAGTGTTTAATTTAGCGAGGCTAAGCAGCTTATTAGATTTGCTAAGTTAGTAGCAATAGAGGTCGAGATTGGAATATAGACAGGCTACGAGGGCGCGGCCTTTAGAAGGGAAGCATATATTAGGGCTAAAGAGGCTATACGTAATTAGTATATAACTAGGCCGAGTAAAGCTAGGGTCTTAATGCCTTAGGCAGGGCTTAGCGCTTAGCGTTAGGCTAACTCTCCTGCCTTCCTCCCTCTCCTCCTAGATCCTTATCGAATACTATACTAATTTACGACTACCCTATCTACCTGCTAATATAACCCTTATTGTAACCGCTATATACGTAGAGGTAGTAGTTCTTCCTAATTTACGGAGATATTAGATTAAGCGTATAGTACGCGATCTAACTCGGTATAGAAACCACAGCTATAATCTTCGGGAACGCTAGGTATTTAAGTTCCTTCTTTTTCTAGATCTATATATCTTTAGAGTTAGAGTAAGGAATAGGTCTAGTAAAATAGAAGGGAAACTAATTCCTTATATATACTTCTCGCTACCTTAGGCCGCATTTAGCCTACTAGTATAGTATTAAGCGCTCGTAGGGTTTTATCTTAGGCTTGCTATAAGTCTATAGATATTAAGCCGTTATTAGATAAGGCATTACGATATAGTCGCTTCTACTCTATTTAAAAATTAAAATATAGAATATTAGAATTTTTCTACGCTAATATATAATATATTAGAACGTTCGGAGCTACTATAGACTTTCTTTTAACTAAGGGAGAGCTAAATTTAAGATATATAATAGGTAATATACTTAGTCTTATAACTTAGAACAGTTATCTGCTTTAGTACCAAGTATACCTATAATATTTCGAAGCTTTATTTCTTATAGGATTTCATTAGAGAGGCGAGGCTACGGCAGTGGATAGTGAGTGGTATAGCGAGTTCATCAATTATGCAGAGGGGTTTGCATACTTATGCCTCATTCCCGCTATGAAAGTTCAAAGCTCATCCAGTCTGAGTGCGAATGATGGTAAGCTGATGACCGCTTGAGCGGGTACGTCCGACAACCGTTCAATGTATTCCGCTGCGCCTTTCCACTGCTCTCAGCTGAACGACATCGCGCTTCATGGGTGTGGTAGCACAGAAGAACTTCAAATTTCAAGTCTGAAGCTTCGCCTCTCCTTCTCTCTGCTCGAGGCAAGAATATCACGGTCTTGATCATCATTGCACATCTGCTTAAGCCCGTTTCGACAACCATGAAACATCAGCTTATCTTTCCCCTCCTGCTCGCCGCCGTCGCAGCCGTACCAGCAACTCTCGAAGCAAGTCCAAATACCTGCACTCCAGCCTGCGGATCAAAGACAGCCGCTTGCTGCAGCGGAGATGCACCATTTGGCGGCGTGATCGCATTCGAGGTTCGTAGCAGCTCTGATGTCGGCTTTCACCTTCTCACGGATATTGCAGTGCGTGCGATTCGACGAAAACAATGAGATTTGCCGGAACCCTGGGATGGTGTATTGCTGTTTGACTTTCTTTGTAAGTTTGATCTAGAGGAGTACTTCGGTGAGTTAATCTGATGGTGCGGAAGGGAAACGCTTGTTTGAACAACGTAAAGCCGTGCGAATAGGTTATGGTTATGGGACCTTGATTGTAGTGAAGGCAACGGAATGAGGGGGAGTATAGCCATTGCAATGACTTCTAAAAAAGTCCGGAATATCATATTAAGCGTCATACGTCGTGGCGTTTCGAGCAACCTACCCGCTTCTCAGACCAGTGTACTTTGTTCTAATGTTTCGTGCTGAGTTGGGACCAACAATTGGGAGTCGTTCCGCTTAGAATCGTTGGGCCCAGAAAGATGAAGTGGCCTGATCTGTAACCTTCAGGTCGCAGTACTAAAAGGAATGGGGCTCCAATTGCGAAGAAGATTTGATCTCCAGGTTGAAGCCCGCGGCAAAACCAGAAGCCGATTTTATTATTAGTGGCCGTGAATCAAGAGTGATTGCTAAGGCCGTCTCGCTGTAAGGATTGTCTGCAATATTTTCCAAATATAATAGCGCAGCATCGCGTGTCTTTACCGCAATGTCTAATAGCACTTGTAATTGGGATGCAATTTGCTGTCCTTAGTGAAGTATTCGAGAACCTCGACTAAGCGAGAGAATCGAGTGGCACGTAATGACAGATCCTTACAGGCGAAGCACTACAGTATTCCATGTAGCTCTTCGCCACTCTCGCGCAGACTAACGCGATCGGAGAGCAAGCGCACGACAAGCTCGTCTGGCCGCTGGCTTGACTCTAAGATTTCAGCATGTCTAGGTCTTCTGGAATGTCTCACATAGAACCTCTCGGCCCATCCATAGATCGAGTAAGAAGAAGGCCAATCGATGCACCAAGTCGGGAGCTCGAAGTGGCCACGTCTCGGCAAGCTCAAAGAATCGGCCACAGACTCTGGGAGTGGCTGATCAGGATTCTGGTCGCTTGAACAAAGATCTCAGGGGCAGTTATGTCATATGATAGTCCATCGAACTGGACATAAAAGTTTTCGAAGAACAGCCAGCGCTCCGATAACGTGGTCTCTCGGGTCTGTAGCTTTTAGAGCCAGCACGGCATCAACAATGCGGTAAGCCCTGGTATAGTCGGGCAGCGGTAGATTTGTACATGGTTCGGATTTTATTTCCCTCATGTGCGAATCAATTTCGATTCGTGTGAAGAGCCATGATGAGACTGTCGAATATATGATTGGACGACATAAATTTCCAAGGAGCAGCATGAGACCCGCAGACGACGAAAGGATGTTTACTTAGGACGAATTCTTGCAGCGTCCACACTCGATCGCTCCATGGTCGCCCATCCAACAAGATCGATTTCTCAGGATCTCCAGAGACCTGGTCACAGTCAGCACAGACTGAGGTTGGGCGTGATTGAAACAGCCTGGCCGTTGCAGTGAAGCTCCCGCGATTTGTCGTCTGTTCCTCATACGTAGGACAGAGCCTCATATTGCGCTTTGAGCAAAGGTACGACTTCCAGAGAGCAACGAAAAGGCGTGTTGAAAGCTCGCGATGGTCTCAATGAGATGATTCGGATCTCGCCAGCTTCAAGACCATGGTAGATACCGTCCATATGGCCAATACCACAGAGTCACGACGACCAAGTGAAGCTGCTGGAGTAGCGATACTGTGTCTGCAGGCCGGGACCGTCTCTAGATCAGCTACATCCTCGAGACACCTACCTGGATTGAACTGCAAGACAGGGGCCCGGGGACGCTGCCAACATTGCAGTAGAGCGCCAAGAGCGCCAGTTCTGTATGTGAGTTATGGCTAAGACGAGTACTCACACATTGAAGATCATCGTATGGCTATCAGCAGAAGCTTTCGGTGGGCAAAAAGCGCGTGTGATGTAAGGTACGAGAAGTTGCCATCAAGGGAAACGGTCTCCGCCCCGTCGACACCTCAGGCATGAACTTTTTGACCACACCTCCTTCCCGCCGTTCTGTTCTGCACCGTGAACACATCACATCACGTCCTCCTGCTGTCAAACAAAAATCTTGCGTGTAAATGATTGTTCTGGGATACTGGAACCACTGAATAGATCCGCCCTTTGTCCTAAACCTGTCTCCGATGTTGACATCGCACGAATGAACAAAGACGACACGACAAATGCCGAGCATGGTTGAAAGAGATGGGCTCTGAAGGCCGGTTGACTGGGAGAGAGAGGGTACAGTCAGGCGCTGAAACACGGACAACCTTTCCAGTGCACTGAAGATGCGGATGACAAGGGCCATTCAGGCTGCTGTGCAGCCCGAACAGCTCACTGCCACAGTGATGGTGTTCTGCTGTCTTGCCCGAGATTGTCTGAGGAGTGCAACATTGTTTGCCGCATGCTCTCCAGCACCTCTATAAGGGTATGCTAGGCGTTTGTAGTCCGCTCAGCGCGCTGCAAGGACGAAAGGATAGGCGAGCACTGTGGACAACAGGACCATCGCATACAAATCACGCATCCTCTTTACTCATGCTCAGTCTATAGGTGAACGACACGATGTATACACTGGTGATTGCTGCGCAAGTGAACGCTGCAAATCTCATCTTTGATCATTCACTCACGCTGCTAATTTGCCCCACATTTACTTACCCCGATTTGGCTAGCTTCATCCGCGGCGACTTGTTTGCCTAAGGCTCGACCACCGCGCTTTTTCCAACTTCCCACGCGCACCCCAGCACACAACATCTGGCGCGCGCACTTTGGCATCAAATCGACACCAGAACAGAATCGCGAGCGCCTCCCCAACCACCACTTCCCACAGCCGCCAACATGGGCGCAGTGCTCGGCCGACCCGGCTTGCCGCTGGCAGCACTGGCTGCGCTCTTCAGTGGTTTTGGGAACACACCCCGACTCGACGCGCCACAGTACCTTTTGTCATCATCCCAGTCCTCCTTCTGGCCATCACTGCCTCCAGCACCTGCGCGCAGCGATGGCGGCGATGTCCACAACGCGACATCTCAAGGACTGATGGTCGCGACGAGCGGCCCTGATTTGAATCATGGCAACGTTTCTTGGGTCTTCTCTCCTCATCCTTCCGTATTTATTCAAGTCGCCCTCCTCATTCTTGCCCGTCTGGCCCCAAATACTCCTTTGGTGACGTACATCAACCGCGCCCATTCGGTGATACTACTGGTCGCGCTGGCAGTCCAGTACTGTCCAGGTCTCGTCTTCTCGCTGATACAAGACGGTATCGTACAGCTGCTAATTGCTGTCGGCATCGCGCTTTGGCAAATCTGGAGGAATCCAGCAGTCGAGTACACCATAGATGAAGACATTCAAGACGAGACAAAAGCCAGCGACAACAACCTTCTGCAAAATTCTGCAGTGGGTCAGTCGGAAGATAAATCGACCCAGTTCCCAGAACAAGCCCCGACGACGCCCGTCGAAGATAATCAAACCATCCTCCGACAGAACGAAGCACTGCGTCTTGAACTCTTGGAAGCAAAAAAGAAGCAAGAGTGTCAGGCTACTAAGGATCTGGAAGAGATCATCACTCTCAAGGCCAAGCTCAAGGCAGAATGCAAGAAGCATGGCATGGCCCGCAACGACCTGGGAATCTGGAAGGCAAGAGCAGAGAAGGCGGAGGACAAGCTCAAACTCGCCGAGCTCGCTGGGGAGACTCTTGAAGCGCGGAGAATGAAGAAGTTCGCGGTTCAGGACGAAATCAGCGCGCTTCACAAACAACGTGCCAGAGTTGCTATAACGGCCAACCTGGAAGAGCAGCTCGCGGAAGCCAGGGAAGCATTGGTTAGAACGATCTTCACGACACATGAATCAGCGCAGAAGAACGAGCTTGTTTCCGAAGTTAAAGAGTTGTCCAAGAGGTTGGCTACTGCAAAAGCAGACGAGCTGCATGCTGCCCAGAAAGTCCTCAAGCTTCAGGGCAAGCAAGATACCGGCACACAGACGGACAATCATACTTCTCCCGAATCGACCTCCTCGTCAGCCACGTCTACGACCCTCGAAGCTTCCCAGTCCACGTCTCACAAGCCCAAGACGATTCTTGAGGCACTCATCAATCCAGAATCCTCACGATCCAACACCATCTCGGCACTTCCCCCATCCACGAGAGATACGCCGAGCATCGCAGACGCGCCCTCGGGCTTCGTGCCTCCATTTTCATCGCAAGAGCAAGGCGAAGATCATCAAATGAGCACCACTTCAGCTCTCCACTCGCCTGAACCTCTCGCCAATGCAGCTGAGCCCAACACGCACTCGAGCAATCCCGAGTTGTCCAAATTACTGGCCTTCTTCAAGGCTAATCCGGCTCCTGAGCTGCCGCCGATCAGTCCCGCAGAGCCTGACACTCCGCCAAATGGCTCGATTGGTAACGTTGAATCAGTGCTACCGGTCACCGATAAGAAGCACGCCGCTCAGTCATTGCCGAAGGAAGACCAGACGAGCGATGCATTCTTGCCCATGCGGTCTGCGCTCCTGAATAGCAAGACTGTGCCTGAGACACCACCGCGCACGTCTGGAAGCGCTACGGATTCGGAATCGTCTCTACCGATTGCGGTACTGGAGAATGCTCAGAGCGTCGCTGACTCGTTCTCGTCCTCCTCGAATGCAGACCCTCCTCGCGCAGGTGCGACAGACTCAGTATCGTCGCTGACATCAATGCCTTCGGTATCATCAAACCCGTCAGCGGAGGATCATACAAGTTCCAACCCACCGGTACAACCTACAGTATCGGAAAAGAAGCACGAATCCAGCACGAAGGCCGCAAGTGGAGCCGTGGCATCAGATGCTGCCCCATCACCAGCAGCACCGTCGTCGAAGCGATCAGTTTCCTCCCTTTCTTCCTCCACCACTCTGCCTTCCACGTCAAACCCATCATCCGGCATACCAGGACTCTTCCGTCGAAGCGAGCAGTCAGCGCCCGTAGAAAACCCAACCTTACCTCGTCTCTGCTTCTACCGCCCACACATAAAAGCAGTCACGAGAAAACGTTGCATCAGAAAAGAGAACCAGACCTTCCCTTGTGTCAATGGCAAGAAGTGTGTAGGCGATCCAAGCCAGTACGACCAATCCACTGGCAAACTGATAAATCTTGGAGATCCTGATGCATCCCTCTACGGAGGCAGTAGCGACGAAGCTGAGAGCGCTCGCAGATTTACTGCTTGGAACCTTCAGCTCTGCCATGAGTGCTACGTGGAGGTGGATCCGCCGATTGAGGTGGCAAAAGAGAAAGAGGCGGCGGAGGAGTCTCGATCAGACGAAGAGGCAGATGGGGATGCAGGCCTCGACGAACAACTCTCCGGAAATGAGACCAATGCTGGCGGAGAAGCCACGCGTGAGCAAGAAGAGGAGGCAGACAAGCCTCAGATAAATGAAGATCAAGATGTGGATGACGGCTTCGATGAAGAGGTGTATGGAAATGAGAGCAAAACTGGCGAAGAAGCCACGCACGAGCAGGAATGTGGAGAAAAGGAGGAGCAGGAGCCTGGCGAGGACCCAGAGGGCGACGCATTTGAAGCGGCGCTCAAGGCAGAGTTTGCAGTGCAATACGCAGAGGATGCGAAGGCAAAGGAGAAGACCGAGGAGGAGCAGAGAGAGGAGGGGGAGACAGAGGAGGGGGAGACAGAGCCTACTGCTGGTGAACCACAGATGGCGAGCAACGATGTCTCGGCACTCGTCGATCCAACCGAGGCCATGAATCTGACTGGAGCTGGGACTGGACCTGTGATGATGGCTGATCGTCCAGATCCATCAGTCTACCAGAATCCCGGCATGACTGAAGACGAGGCTTTCCAACGCGCTGTCTACCAGTTATACCGTCATGGGCCGTTTGATAGACGCGGAGGTTAATCGTGACGGAAACAAAGGATATCAGGCTGAGATGAATACAGAGGAAGAGAGTAGCATGGGACATTAGAGAGAGTGGAAGGCCATTGATTTGCGCCAGAAGCTTCTCGAAGGGATACATGCATGTCGACTTGGCTGGACCGCCGCAATCCTGAACCCTAGACAGATGTCAAAGAAGTGAAAGGCTCTTAATTGAGCTCAGAAACTTCTGAGATGGACGTCGGGGCGGGAAAGCGGCAAAGTACCGGACAAGGGCAGATTGTAGCATACCAAAGCGAGGAAGCCAGTACATAATGGAGTCAGAGATGTTGCCGCAAATTCAAATTCCTCCTTTCGACAATCATGAACTCTGAAGAATCACATGCAGCTAAGAACAATCGAACCACAGAATCTGCCGCGGCAAAGATCGACGAACATCACTTCCAAAGTGTCAATTTGAGGTTTCGCGAAGGTCCTGAGATATCGATGAAAAAAAGGTCATCGTCAGGAACAGAAGAACCATCCGCGTTCTTTTCTTGAAAGAAGATATGTATATACTCGACGAAGACCAACAGGTATACCAACCAACCACCAAAAGCAACGCAATGCAACCCCCTTCCCCTACTGCTTTCCCCGCCACCCAATCTACACTACATACTACATACAATTCACCCCAAAAAACACACACTGATCCACCGTCCCCGGAAACACCGGCCCCCCACCCCCAGTCAGATACAAATACTGCGCACACCCATCCCCCTTCGGCCCCCCCTTATTCGTCACATCACAATTCTTCCCATCCGTATCTTTATAAAACACACTCCCATCCCTATGAAACCCCAACTGCGAATTCCCATAATTGAAAACCGTGGTGCCGTCGGCTTCGACTTGGACTCCGTAGCCGTGCTTGTTGTTCGAAGGCGGGTTGGGGGTGCTGACACTGTAGGTTTCTTTGGTGCAGTAGTAGGGCCAGGTGGGTACGCAGAAGAATTTGGCCCAGGTTTCTTGTGCTTGGTCGCGGAGATCGGCTTGCTGGGCTGCTTGGTTGACGGCTGACTTGGCGTCGTCGGTGCGGGTTATGAGTGTGGAGATGGGCTGGGAGGAGGGGAAGGAATGGTTAGCATGTGGTTTTGAGTGGCGTTGGATTGTTTTTGCTGGAGACTTACGTTTGCGTCTGCGTCTGCGTTTGCTACAGGTGCGGCGAGGGCATGGCTGATTGCTGAGGCTGTGATTACAGCCAGGATTGATGTGAAGTGCATTTTCCTTTTGCGAGCGGATTGGAGGATTTGTTGTCAATGAGGGATGGCTGTCCAGAGATAGGGCTCGGCTGGTGCAACGAATATGTTGGTCGTATGTACAGTCGAATGGAACGCGAAAGTGTTGTTCTAGTATAATGTTTGCTGCAAGATTCTTAATTGTAGTCGTTGAATAGAAGCGAGTATCTATTGTAAAACGGAAGTCGTTAAATCAGAAGCCGACATGTTGCTAAGTAAGTTAAAGCTTATCTCAAACGAGGAAGTAATGCTCCTTATATACCCGATCTGCGAGCGCCAGAGAAGTCTGCGGTTTAGCTACCCTACTTCAGCATTGTATTTTCGCATTATAGAGATCTACTTGATTCGTCCAATCTGCCCTAGGGTATCTCGTAGCTTCTAGGAACGGGTTCATCTTAGCTTGCCTAGGCATGTAAATTCTATATGCTAGTTGAAGTGTTGCGGCACTAAACTCTATCTTATTTCCCTTGCTATCGTCGTTGTACAGGTCGAAAAATCACTCGAAAAGTGCCGATTGACAGTACAACGCCCGAGATTCTGCAGGAGCTTTATTGAAATTCTTCAAAACTCATCTGCCGATCTGCTCTAGGCTATGTTTTCCGAAGCTTTCCGGCTCGTGTGAATGATCGGGTAGTAAGGTACCGGTATCGAAGGAATTGTTGTAGCAATTACGGCAGGCGGCTAATTCCAAGGGTAAGGGTCCTTGATTCCGCGAAGACAGGGAGGACTGTGCCGCCCTACTATAGTTGTACATATTGTGTTGTTGATTTAATAATATATTGTCGCGCTATGCAGAAAAGCGTCTTGAGTTTCGTATTCAGACCTAGATAGATATCGGCATGCAACAAATGCTAAACTTTAAAGGGTAGCATCATCCAGGAATAGTCTTATAGAGTCTCTAACAAGTCCCTTCGTTGTTCAAAGTCCCTTTTCGAGCTCAAGATAAAATTGAAAGACCGGTGGTGCACCGACGCGGGAAGGCTGTCAACTGACAAGAAATCCGTACGTGCGCGTTGCTGTGCAAGCAAAAGATCCTTTCGCCATCAAACTCTCCTTCTTGGTATAGAAATCCAGAACCACAAAGGGGTGGGCCTAGATTCTAGAATTGCATTGCGTGATGAGTCTATGACTCATTGCGTGCTGCAATAACAAATGATCGAAAATCGACTTAGCATTGATCGATCAAAGTCCCCGGCGTAGAACTAATTTGCTTAGACTTTCGTATTTGATCTAAAGGCCTAGCCAAACATTCTTTAGATCGTCGACATACATATTTGTTTAGACCAGGAGACGTAACGTATACTCGCATGCTACTCTGCCATTCGAAACGACATGCAAGACGTTTTAACTTTTCGTAGGGGTCAAGTGAATGACTTCCACGGCCCGTTACGAGGGCAGCGGCTCAAATCGAGCATAGAGATCCAACAAGACTTCTACAATACCATTGCAAGTCTCGAAGTCGGAGCCCTCGACACCAAATACCAACATCCCGCCTTGGTATATCGGCTAGAATACTATGTTCCTCTCCCAATACCGAATACTTACACTTTTTCGCATTTTTGAAAGGGCATCGTATTCATCAACCTCTCGCGGAGGCTCTCCTGCTCATTCTCGGTATAAGTTTCCAATTTCTGCATGCATTGTTGCATTCGACAAGCTTGTCACCAACGCCTAACAGAATGTCGTCGACTCGTCGAATGATAACAGCGGCTAGTGGTTGAAACGCCGTGCCGGTGAGGAATCCGACTAACTACAAGCATCGAACTGAAGCTGTCTCGTATTTTAATGCAGGGGCATAGTGAAAAGTTGTTGTTGTTGTTTAATCAACAGAGGGTATACCTATTTTTAGGCAACCAACGAGTTGCAGTATGCGTTGTTGTTGTATCATCTCCGAGTGATGTGGATCGCAAACTTCGAGTTGGAACTAGTTCATGTGACTATATGTAGTTGCAACAACGTCCTAGGTATCTCCTCCATTCAGACACCGATATTACAATGGTTGGTTGGGAATTTACAACCGCTTTGCGATTCCATATCCGCGAACCAAAACGACAAAGGAAATCAGCCTGAGAAAGAGGCAGCGAACCTCAATCAACATCGCAAGCAAGCGAGATCAACGAGTATTTTTTTTAGAGACTGTGCTTTCATTTTAGAATACTCAAAATCCTTGGATGCTTTGATGGAAGTGATCAAATCAACATTACAATCATGCTTATGCTCATGCTCATGCTCCCACGTATTCAAACTTCAAAACGCTATGCAATGCAATGCAATGCAACGAGAGCAGTCAAACCGCCACCATGCCTCCCTATACCAGAGACCTCTCGAGTCAAAAAATTCATCACCCTCTTCTCCCGAGGGCTGTTCATGCAATAAAAGAGCTCACTCGAACCTGCCAGCAAAACCCTTTCCAACACCCCCACTAGCATTGCGACGAAGTTGAGCAATACGAGCAGTATTCTCCGCCCTCCTCTTGCTACTAGCTTCGACGATAGCACGCCTCTCGCCTTCGCGAGCCTGGTATGCCAGACTGCTCTTCTTGCTGCCGCCAATCTTGACACCGCTGATACCGGTACTGTTCTCGCGGGACAAGGAAGTCGTCACGCCACGATCGTTAGTAGCAGTGTTGGTTGTAGCGCGGCGGAGAAGAGATGGAACTTTGAAGCCGCCGCCGCCGGCAGGGGCTGCCCATGCGGTGCGTGAGTGGGCGCTGTCGGTGGCGCTTGGGACGCGCTTGAGGGATAGGCGGTCGACGACGGCTGGGGTGCGGCGTTGTGATGCTGGGAGTCTAGGTGGTGGCATGGCGATGCGGTCGGGAGCGAAGCCTCCGTCGTTCTGACGGGAGGATTCTTCTTCCATTGCGCGAACTTGGTCGTCTTCGTCGTCGTGCTGTGCTGTCTCTCCATCCTCCTGCTCGGAATCGGAGTTGTTGTCCAGAGATTTCGGAGCAGCCATGGGAATGTTGGGTTCGTCGAGCAAGAAACTGACGGACTGCTTCACTTCTAGGAGAGAAGTCGGAGCCTTGAATGCAGAGGTGTTCGTACGACGCTTGTTGGCGGATGGACGCTCGTGCGAATCCACATCGCGACGACGCTTCATGTTGTTAACACTGACTTCTCGCAGTGGTGCACTCGTCTCTGTGGGCTGCTGCGAAGCTTGGCTATCGGATTGACTCGTCTGCTCCTCTTCATCTCCATCTGAGAGGTCTAGAGCGTCGTCGTCCCGATCGTCGTCATCAGCAATGGCCCGCAAGAAGGCATCCTTGCCCTTGCTCTGCTTGCCCTCTGCCAGGCCAGCAATGTTATCGTCTTGAAGCAGGAGCTTTCTCTTCCTAGCCTCCTCGCGCTGTCTCATTTGTCGCCGCCGGACTGCAAGATCGTCTTCATCGTCATCCAGGTCGAACATGTTGGCCTGCTTCCTCCTCAAAGCGCCAGTCTGCAGGTCTCTCAGCAACTTGTTGGCGCCAGCTTCATCTTCGGCACGTTGTCGCTCTGCAAAGTGTGCAGCAAGCTGTCGCTCATCGACCTCAACATGACTCGAATCGATCATTTCTCGGTCCTGGTCCGTCTCAGGCGCAACGTAGTCGTCACCTCCAAGGCCTGCATATTCGTCTTCGGATTCCTCGGCCTGATCCTCCATCATTTCCTTGGCTTCTCGTTCGGCTTCCGCCCGCTCAGCCTCGGTGAGTGCTTCCCTACGCTTGCGAGCCATTTCACGAAAAGCATTCTTCTTTTCTAGCTTTGATGACTTTACTGGAGCAGTATCGTCGTCCCCGTCACTCTCCTCAACTGCGACTCGCCTACCGCGCACAAGACGGTTGCGCTTGGTGGCGATCGCGGCTGGCGACTCGCTGATGCGAAGGCGCACTGTTGACTGTGTATCGTGGGCCGATGCAGAGTCTAAGGTGTCTTCTCGCTCTAGTCCAGCGTTGGCCTGCCAGGTCTCGGGCAGACCTGCATCCTGCGACGGCTCCCACCCTGGAGTTGCCAAAGTCAGATTGGAACTACCTCTCTTCATGGTCTGAAGAGGCGTCTCTGGTGGTTGCGTCTCCCATGCTAGCTTGATTGGCTGGCTTTCGACCTGACTGCCTGGAATCATGCTGACTTGTGTATCGTCGAATGTTTGTGCCCCATAGTCCAGTGACACGGGTGGGAGAGATGACGATGTTGGCGGTACAAGGCAATTGAGAACATCCAGCGAGTCCTGTTGAGTAATTTGGGTAGGCGTCTGCATCGTGGCATTGAACATCTGTGTTGGGCTCATCAACGAGCTAGCAGGCTTTGCAGCACCGAAACCGAAGGCCGCAAATGGATCAGCCTGGGTCGAAGTCGCAGTCGGAGTAGCGTTTGGCAGCTGCCGAGGGACGTCGCCATCACTGTCTTCGTCGTCCACGATGATGCGAGACTTTCGTGGCTTTCGTCCAATCATAGGAGTCTGTTCTGGGCTTGCTTGTGTGAGAAGCTCTCCATTTGTAGCCTCAACGACCTCTTCACTTCCAGCATCGCCCATCGCTTCTGCAGGATTGTCGATCTCTGCTTCCTCTTCGCCATTGTCACTTGCGCTGTCACTGCCATCCTCCTCGTCCTCGTCTTCGCTTTCGTCGGCAATATCGTCGACCATGTCATTGTTGTCACGTCCATCGCCCTCGCTTCCGGAGCCGTCGACGTAATCCTCATCCTCGCTCTCATCGTCGCTTGCAGCTGCTCCACCATTTTCGCCCTTGGTAGCATTCTTCTCAGCCTTTCGAAGCTCGACTGCCTCCAACCTGGCCTTCTCGAGCAAGTTCTCGAACATCTCTTGCTCACGCTCATGCTCCTCGGAAGTCTGTACCTCGATCCCCTTCGCTTTGAGTTCCGCGATCCGCTCAAGTTGCTCAGCTCGAGCTTGCTCTTTGGCTCTCAAGCGAAGCTGCTGCTCCAAGGCTTGTGCACCAATAAGGCGCTGAGCTTTGCCGTTCTTGCGGCTGGCGGTGCGGGAATCATCCATGCCAACATGCGCCAGGTGCTTGAGCCTGTGAATGGCAGCCGAATCTGCATGCTGTCGCTTCAGGGTTCCTTTGGCCTTGTCGAATACACTCAAGTGATGAGGCATCTCCTTGACGATTTCCAAGTCATCGTCACTGCTTTCGCTAGCTGCAGGAGGGACGGCATTCTTGCCGAGACGTGCAACCTTAAGGCCCTTCTTTGGAGCCGCCTTTGAGGGACTAGGCATTGCCATGATCGGTCGTACTTCGGCTCTCTTCACTTTGCGGGCCGAGCTGAAGATATCAGCGATGTCGGGAAGCTCGTCTTCGTTGGGCATCTCCATCACAGTAGGCAGGCGGTCCTCGCGAACGGGCTGCATCTTGCTTAAAGCACCTTGCTCGACAAGCGCTCTCTGACGCTCCAAAGGCGTTGGACGATCCAGTGGGGTGGGCGGACTTGATGGAGGAGTGCTGAATGGTTCTCTCGCGGGCGCATCGCTGCTGGGTGCTGACGAAGCAGAAGTGTCGGGATCATTCTGCGCTGGTAGCACCTGTCCTACAGGCTGTCCTGCAGGGCGATAATTGAATTTGGCGAAGAGGTCGTTCGTCGTGAATTTCTTGCGCGTCTTCATCTGATGGGCCAGAGCCTGCTGGCGAGCCATACGTTGCGTCTCACGCTCCATCTCCAGCAAAGCCCTCTTGCTCGCCTTACGAGTTGGCTTCACTGCGTCGGACATGATGCGTTCCACTTCCGGGTCCAATGGATCCTGCGAACCTTGCACGATTTCGTCCGGCAGATCTGATGAAACGTGAGCAGAGTCCGCACGTCCGCTCTCTTCCTCTGCTTCTCGCGCAAGCCTCGCGGCGCGCTTTTCTGCCACAAGCGCCGCAAGCTTTGACTTGAGCCCAGTTGGTTGGTCCGGAAGGTCATCGTCACTGTCCTCCCGCTCTGTTCTGGCGGGGCTGACGAATAAAGTTGACCGTGCCGCACTCGCTTGGCTAGACGGCGACTTGCTCTGCGCTCGCACATTGCGCTTCGGGGTTGCAGTGTAGAGTTCATCGTCGTCGTCGGCATCGAATGTGGCTGTCATCGACGGCTGCGCCATTGAAGATGTCTGCTGATGGCTGCCATTGCTTGATCGATCGCCACCTAGCATGCGGCGCGCCGCCCTCCCCACGGGTCGACGAACTTCGCCCTCCGAGTCATCGTCGCTGGCCGTCGAGCTTGCGACTGAAGAGGTCACTGTTGAGTCGATGTTTGTGGCCTTGGCGTCGTTTGAGAAGCCTTTGGAGGGACCAGTTGCCACTGGCGAACCGGTGGGCGAGTCGTCTTCTTCGCAGAGGCCTCTGGTCGTCGTCGCGCGCTCCATCATCGCGGTGTCTTGGCCTTGTGCGGGCGGAGAGTTCGCCATGGGGAGGCTGAATTGTGGTTGCAAGCGCGTAGAAGGCGCGCCTGACAATGCTTCGATGCAGATGGGAAGATATCTACATAGACAATGAAGCCATTGGTGCTGCTTGTGATCGTTACCAGCAATGAGATGCGTTTGAAAAGTGAGTCGGTGGTAGAGGGGAGGGGAGGGGAGGTGAGGTGAGGTGAAAGTCGTCAAGCTGGGAGAACGCGTCTTGACGCGCATCGGCGGCGACGAGCGCCAAGCACCGACGCAAGGAATCCCGCCCGGCTCGGCTCTTCGTCGGCCAAGGCTGAGGCTGAAAAAATGCGAGTGAACAGACGCGGAGCTCGACCAACACTCCCGAGCACAGCACAGCACAGCACGAAAGAAGTGGTATACCGCAAACAAGGCTACATTCGCCCAGCCCGAGTGCAGACGATGCGCAGGAGCAGATGCAATGTCACGGCTCGCTGAGGAGGCCGCTGCGAAACATCATCCACGCTCACGCAGCGCAATGCAGAACTACCACTACCACTACCCCTACCCCTACCCCTACCCCTCTACACATCGTCAGTGTCGCCCCGACCGATCAAAGTGATGGGCCATACGGTCGGGCAGGCTATGGACGTCACCCTCTTCCGCCCTCCGCCCCGAGTCCCGTGACCCTTCGACGAACCCATCGATGCAGAGCAACAGCCACACTCTCGCCATGCAAACGGTACGCATCGACTGCTGCTGCTGCGGCTGCGGTAGCAAACGCCCCAGACGCGACGCCAGCAGAGCCATATGTGCCGCTGCTTTCCGCTCCCGACAGCGACTTGGGTGGAGGAGAAGGCCAGGATGCAATTCAAGTGAGACGTGTTCTATCACACCAGCGAGCACAGGCGTCGGAAGATGCATTGGAAGAGAGCTACTTCGAGCGCATGAGCGAACGCGCACTGGAATACGCGCCTGAAATAAAAAAAAGGGACGAGCTCGATCGCCACTACCATCGAGGGCACTACCGGCAACGATGGGTGAAGGACAGAAATGAGGCATTGGCACGCAAACGTTTCAGGCAGCGAGATGCAGGCGTCTGGCGAAGCATCCTCATGGCCCTGGAGCAGGCATCGCCTTCTGACGCCCAGAAGTGGGCCACACGATCCAAGGTCTACAAGCTGCCTCCAGGTGTATACGCATCTTTTGTTGATATGGAGGGCCCGGCCATTCTCGAAATTATGCTACGCACGCATTGCCACGTTCAGGTCACACTGGACTTGATGCTGGAGAACGACCCTCATTCATTCACGGGTCTAGTCTTCAAGGGGACAGACGCGCAAATTCGAGATGCTCTGGCGCTTGTTCCCGAAATGCTTCGCATATCGCATCATGGCAAGCCTGTCGAGCCCGGGAATCTGGATCAATTCACCCTCCAGGGCGAGGCAGTGCAAGACCAAGACAGCGACCTTCTTGAAGAAACAGAGTCTGAACGATCCGCATCGACTGAGCCGTCACCATCTTCCCATCATGCTGATGCGCCCGGCGTGAGAGCGGATGGCCAACTCGCGCGTGGAAAGACAACAGTAGAAGAGGAGCCCGGCGCGATTGCTGGAGCTGAAGTCGCCACTCCACCACCGTCCAGCGTTGCACATGCACCCATGAAGCCGTTGGAAGCAGACGACGGTGCAAGGTCTGTACCTATATATACGGTGTGGGCGGAAGATCGTGCACGCTCGGCGCCTGACACTGCCCAGCTGTTCGACACCCACCATACCTCGATTCGTACCGCCTCAGACCTGCTCGCGTATGTAAAGGACATCACGGCAAGCATTCCTACCCTCAAGCTCCGTAAGCTGTTCGACGGCCAGCTACCGGATGGCAGGAAGGGAAAATTTGACCCGGTCCGGGATAAGCTGGTTACACTGCTTACCGACCCGAGCATGATTCCTCTCATCACCCCCAACGCTCTCGAAATAGCCTGGCGATACCTCATCAAATCCGAAAGCTTTACAAGCGTAAGATTCATCTACTCTGCGCTTGAAAATGCGGGCTTCCAGTTCAAAAGCACAAACTTCGACGTACTGCTCACCAGAGCAGCCAGACTCGGCGATGTTCACAATTTCGAATACGCCATGGCATTAATGCAACGCAAGCGGCTGCAACCCACCGGGGAAACCTGGGCTGCAATACATGAGCTGGTTTTCCGGCGGTATCCCAAATACTCCGATCGTATAATCGAAATCATGCGCCAGAAAGGAATCTTTTCCGACACCAAAGCAGTGTTAAACGTTCTGAAGACCACGGCCACGACACAGATAGCGGCACACTTTGCCGGCGGAGGGGACATCGAGACCTTTTTCAAGGCACAGGAAATCAGGATGGCCGAATCCTTTGGCCAACCACAATTCAACTGGCTGCAGATAAACGTAGTGAACAGCATGCTCGCAGTCCTCGTAGCCTCAGGACACACCGAGGCCGTTCGCCCGCTCATGAAGAAGTTTGCCGAAGAGGGCGTGGGTTCTGGACTTCCAAACGTTGTAACCATGGGCATATTCCTCACAATGGCACTGAGAGACCGAGATCCAAGGGCTGCGGTTTCCGTCTTGAAATGGTGTCGGGCTGGTCAGCCTGGCGCTCTCGTGCCAAACGCACATTGCTACGTGATTCTGTTCTCCATCGCTTGGCACCGCCGCAACTACAACATGCTGAGAGTCATCTGGCGCTACGCTTGCGTCGCCGGACACGCGAACTACCGCCTGAGGCTGCGAATCCGGGACAGCATCGTCTCCTATGCCCCAGTAATCGAGGAAATCGAACAGATCCGAACCACCCACCTTTGGCACTCCTGGGCCGGCAAATTCGTCATAGGCGTCGCCAACGACATGTACGTTGCAGGAAATCTCACCACAAACCACTCCCACTCCCCCACAAACGCGCAACTCCTCGACTACGCCTCCCAAAAGAAACTCGACCCCGACTCTCCCGAATCTCGCGCACGCTCCACATCTCTCCTCAACACCCTCAAAGCCGATCTGAAAGAAGTCGGTAGTCTCCGACCCACGGAACATTTGCCAGAAATTTTGGATCGCGCTTTGCAAAAAGATCAGGAATGGAAAGCGAAAGGTCTCGGTCCGGCGGGAGGGCTGGAGAAGAGGGATTTGAAGAGTATGTTTGAGGAAATGTTGGAGGATGGGATTCGGGTTCCTATGAAATCTGGGGATTTTACGAGGGAGACGAGGGACTGGACTATTCCGGATGTTTTGGCCAGGTCGCAACTGGAGGAAGGGGAGGAAGGGGAGGAAGGGGAGGAAGGGGAGGAAGGGGAGGAAGGGGAGGAAGGGGAGGAAGGGGAGGAAGGGGAAGAAGGGGAAGAAGGTTGAGAGCTTTGGGAGTCAGTAGAGAAAAAAGTCACTACTACGAGTAGTCCTCGTTAACGCGCACGAAATATTAATAATGCTCTTAATAATGCTCCCTTCATTTTTATCTCGTCCTGCCGTCGAAATAGCTTACTTATTCAATCGTAGAGAATCATCCTTAACATCCTTAATCACTTAGAATATTAACCGGACACGGAACCTCAGAAATACGAAATCAATTGGAATAAAAAATTCCAGAATCTAACACAAACAAACAAACAAACAAACCATCTCACACAATCCGGGTATCATTCTCTCGCAATTCATTCATTCCCATCATCCATCCATCCATCCATCCAATCCCCCAAAAAACAAAACCTCCATCCAACACCCTCAAACTCCTAAAGAAAAAAAAAAAATCACCCAACTCTACTCCTCCCCCCTAACTCCTCCTCCTCCAACCTCCTCCTCAAAACCTCATTAGCCCTAACACAATCCCCCAACGCACGTATCACAAACCCCACCTCAATCTTCCTTCCCATCCCCACCTCACACTCTCTCTCCGAATAAACGGGATCCTCCCCATGCCTCACCGGATCATAGTACCCTCGACAAAGCCTCGCAACCGCATCACCCAAACATTCCACATCCCCTCTGTCGATGGTAGATTTCGACACGAGAGTGTGGAAGAAGGTGGAAATCACATGGGCGTGTTGTGTCGTGAAGGAGAATTCGTGCCCGGAGATTGAAATTTTTTGAGTCGAGAGGTGGTTTTTGAGGATGGTGGGGAGAGGGCCGGAGGTGGGGATCAGAGAGTCCCGACGGCCGCTGAGGGTGGAGTTTAGCATGCGGTGGAGGGTGCGCATGTGGGACATTGTCCAGGGGTGGGAGTCGGAGAGGATGCCGTAGCGGGAGCGGATTTGGGAGCGGGGGGTTGGGGGGAAGGGGGGGAGGGGTGCGTGGGAGGGGTTTGGGTGGGGGGTGGGGAGTTGTACGAGAGGTTGAGATGGGCGGGTGAGGGTGGACCAGAGGGTTGTGCTGAGGCGGGAGAGGAGGCTTGAGGTGGATGGGTTGGGTTTTGGGGCTGTTGCTGAGGGGGAGTTGGAGTGAGATGTCGACTGTGGCGGTGGGTGCGAAGGAGCTGAAGCACATGTCTGCTGCGTCTCAAAGAGTGGCGGTCGTCGATTCGCGGGACTGAGCCAGGAAGCGTCGCGCGTGCTGGAGTCGCCAAAGTTGATCTTGATCTTTGTTGGTGAGTCGAGGTTGAGATTCTCTTGGTAGCTTCTTGTTGGATCAGCGGCCTCATCTTGCTCATCCTCCTCGTCCACGTCTTCTTCCTCGTCGTAAGTGTCAACATGCATGGAGCGGGAATGCTGATGGTCCTCCCCAGCATCAAAGTCCTCGTCATGGTGTGGTGCTGGAATCTTTGGATGTGCTGGGTCATGCTGAGACTGCTGCCTCACGTTGTTCATCTCACGACTGTGGTTCGACATGGCGCGCTCGACCGCAACGGCAGGCTTCCGGAATGCTTGTGCAGTATCTCGTGACCTCAACTGTGACTGTGCTGTTTGGATCTGAATCTGCACCTGCGGATGAGCTGGCATCTGGATGCTGCCCGTGCTGGCAAAGCTATCGGTGACGGTCGACTGAGTATTGTTCGGATGGTTGCGCCCAAAGTATTGTCGACCTCTTCTCTTCGGCTGTGCTTGTCCGACAGCAGGTTGTGCCTTGACCGGCTCAGCATCAGGATACTGTCCAGACTCACTGAACTGCTTCACGCCAGAATCTCGCAACTCCTTGAGGTGTCGAGACACTGGAGGGTTCGTCAAGAGATCGTCCGTGCGTACGCTATTGAAAGCGTCGTTCGTTGTGAAGATGTTGCTTTGGGAGTTCTTGAGCTTGCTGGATGAAGATAGCTGAAGAGGGCTCGCATTCTTCTTCGCTGAGCTATGTTCGGAAGGCTGTTGCTGCGGTAGCGCTTTCTGCGGACTACTCTTGAGGTCCAGCAGTTCGTCCAGATCCATGGTTGGCTTCCTCGCCGGCCTTCGTTTGGGCTTGTCTTTGAGGTGTGCTTGGGACGTGTTGTCCGTGAAAGACTCGGCCAGTGCTTGTTGATCAGGACCAGTCCTCGCTCCACCCGCAGTGCTCTCATCTAGTGGATCCTTGCTGTCATTTCTCGAAGCTTCTTCCTCATCATCAATCATTTCATGGTCATCATAATCGTCCTGGTGGAAGCGCGTAGCTTCTGCTTCAGGTTGGGTGAACTCGCTTTGCAGTTGATTGTCGACTTCGTTTTGCAGTTCACCACTGCCGACGTCGTCTTCCTGCTCTTCCTGCTCTGACGGTGTATACTCGCTTCGCAGCTGATCGTCAGCTTCTCCTTGCGAGTCAGCAGCAACATTGTCTTCTTCTTCTTCTTCATCGCCCTGCTCGCTTTCGTCCGTACTTGGAGGCGTCAGCACACCACTACCATCGGCAGACTGCCTCCTATGCTCGATAGTCTCCCCCGGCGGTTGATGTGCCGGAGAGTCGACATAAGAAAAGTCCATGCCTGAGGTACGCCGCCAAGTCTTCGGAATCTTAGGTCGAAGTGGCTTTTCCGGCAGATGAGCGAACAAGTCTTCAAATTTGTGTGATCGCGTCTGTGAGCTGGGAGGCTTGTAGTTCGGGTCTTCGGCTTCTGAAGGTGAGTGTGTGGGTCGAAAGTCAGGATCTACGCGCTCCTCGCGCTCGTCGTTGGAAGGGTTTCCTGTCGCGGGTTGGGATGCCTCATCTTGCCACAGGTCGTCCTGAACGGCATTCGCAGCATTGAGATCGTCTTCAGATTCGCTGCCGTCATCATTCACTACCACAACGTCGTCAGAGTCAGCATTGGAGATCTGCTGACTGACAGCTTGCCGCTGTTCCCGCCATCGACTCTCCAACCCTTGAGCTGATTGCACCTCCTCCGCTCTGGACGAAGGACGCAATTTAGCAAGACCAGTTGGCTTCCAGCTCATAGCATCGACATCATGGCGTAAGCTTGACTTGCCCTTGGCAGAGTTCTTAACCGAGAAGGGTACACTGAGGGAGGTTCTCTTCGAAGGCGTAGGCTCAAACGGCGATCCTAGACTTGATCTGGCTTTCGCTGCTGTTGCTGATATGTCGGGATACTGGCTCTTGGGCGGCGACGAAGGCAAGTATGATACACTCAGCCCCGATCTATCTGACTTTGATCGCTCAGCATGAAGCTGGGAGATATGCGCCAGACTGGCTTCCTTGGCAGAGTGCAGCGATTCCACTGAAATCATGGTGAAGTCTTCTGCCCGGCTGAGCGTCATGTCTCCGAGGCGCTCACAGCCCGGGCCCATGGCATCCTGAAGTGCCTGGTCCAGCTCCTCCCTTGCCATAGTCAGTCGCCTCGTTCTTCCCGTACCATTTGACCACTGTGCGCTCAGTCTCGCCAATCGCCCGCTGGCCCTTCTCGGCGGTGTCTGGGAGGGCGGAGGCAGATCGTCCTGCACCATCGCAGGCTTCCAATCCAACTCCGCCTGTACGTCCTCCTGCGCTCTCAACTGCGGTGCACTCCTCGGGTCCTTGATTGGCGACCCTTTCCGCTTCCTCCCCCTCTTCTTCGCAGGCGTCGGCTTCTTGGTGGGACTGCTCGACCTTCGTCCCTTTTTCGGGCTTTCCAAGGGCACCGTCATGGTCGTGGTCGTTTTCTTGCCCGGGCTGCCATCTCTCGGCTCGGCCTGCACGGTGACTTTGATCCGCCAAGGGCTCGCTTCGCCTGCGTGCGGTGTATCCAATGTCATCGACTTTGACGGACTTGCTCGCGCATTTCTCTTGCTCGGACTCGACTTGCGCGTGCTCCTGACATTGTTCGGCGTACGACCAGACAGAGGCGACGACGGCAGGATGATCGGATCGGGCGAAGAATCGCGACTGAAGTCAGACATTATGCGAGTACTTAAGGTTGCGATGGTGGATCGTGCGCGAGGTGAATGACTGCTTCCGCGCGCATATTTCTGCACGTGAAGAGCCCCGAGATATTGTCGCCGTGTGCAATGCTGCGATTTGGTGATATCTGTGATGAAATGCGTCCAAGTCTTCGCCCGCATCTTGGACCTCACCGCGATCAAAAGCTGTTTCACGTGCGGCCGCGATGTGCCGGTTGCCATGACTACAGTACTGAGCCCACCCTACCCCCGTCACCACCACCACCACCCCCACCACCACCACCGTGATATCCTCGAATGATATTGGACCAACAATGGGATTGCGATAATTCTCTTGGAATCGATGCCTCGAAATGGGCATTCATGGCATCTTCAAGGAAATCGGCCAAGGCCAGCGCATCTCCCTCGCCAAGCTCTCCTCCGACCACTTCGCCGCCCACGACCGACCATTCCGCCTTGCGATCGATATCTCCATATGGCTATTTCAGATTCAGGCTGGCAAGGGCGGGTCCAACCCAGCATTACGCACATTCTACTACCGATTATTGAGGCTTCTGACCCTCAACATACACCCGCTATTCGTCTTCGATGGCCCGAACAAGCCCCTCTTCAAGCGCAACAAAAAGGTCGGAGGTCCTGGAGTGCGCGTCGCAAGCGTGCCGGAGTTTCTGGCCAAACAGCTGTTGAAGCAGTTTGCTTTTCCATGGCATGTTGCGCCGGGCGAGGCCGAAGCAGAATGCGCACTCCTTCAGCGAGAAGGCATCGTGGATGCGGTGCTGAGTGAGGATGTGGACACTTTAATGTTTGGATCTGGGACGACGTTGCGAAACTGGACGGCCGAGAGCACGAACAAGACTCCGACACATGTCAACGTATACAGGGCCGCAGAGACGAAGGAGAAGAGCGGCTTGGATCGCGAAGGCATGATTTTGGTTGCGCTCATGAGCGGAGGAGACTACATCACCGAAGGCATACCTGGCTGCGGGCCAAGAGTTGGATGCGATGCCGCAAGGGCTGGATTTGGGAGAGAGCTGGTGAATCTGGCGAAAAGACGAGACATGTCGGGATTGAAGGCTTGGAGAGAGCGACTGCAACACGAGATCCAGACAAACGAGTCCAAACACTTCTCGCGAAAGAACAACACTCTGAAAATACCAGACGACTTTCCTAACAGAGAAGTCCTTGGATACTATACAGACCCTTGCACGTCGACTCCCGAGAAGTTGATGCGCTTACGAGCAGATCTGAAGTGGGACCAGGAGATCGACTTCCCAGCTCTGCGCTCTTTCGCCGGAGATGCCTTTGACTGGAGATGTCTTGGAGGCGCAAAGAAGTTCGTCAGAAACTTGGCACCGGCGATGCTTGTGCGTGAGTTGAGATTACTTGGCGACAAGGGCCAGCTCGACACACATGCGCAAGCAGAGCGGGAGCAAACCCATGTGCTTGCCATTCATGGGAAGCGGAACCACAGCAGCACAGATGCTGAACTGGAATACCGAATCACGTTTGTCCCTCAGAACTTCGTACCCATTGACCTGAGCCTGGAGGATGAAGATGACGACTTCCTCCCAGCAGGTGGCGTTGAAGAGCAAAGTGAGGCAGACGACGAGTGGGCGCAGATACCTTCAAGCACAGCGCTCGAAGACGAAGAGCCAGCATCTCCCACCAAGAAGCGGAACTTCAAGCCATATCATCCAGGCCAGCCTGAGAAGATATGGCTGATGCGGAATTTCTTGCAAGTGGGATGTCCTTTGCTTGTGGAAGATTACGAGGCGAGCCTTCGCGATCCCAAACCGCTGTGCAAGCAAAGACGGCAGGCTCGAGCGAATGATGCGAAGGCTGATAATATGCACGCCAAGAAGACGAGCAAGGGGAAGAAGAAAGCAGCTGACATGCCTGAAAACGCAATTCATTCATACACTCGCGTGATGAAGTCGTCCCAGCATGGGCCAGACAGCGATATTGCAAGCAGTCAGGATAGCCGACAACCTCTCAAGGATGTGTCGGGTGGTGCGAATGGCCGGGTGAAGAAAACCGCGGCGCCGGAGTCCAAGAAAAAGCAGGCGGATGAGGTGGTCGCAAGAATGCCTAGCTTCAAGATGCCCTCGACGCAGCACCTTCGAAGTCCGTCGCCAGACGATTCTCCACGACCGCTCATACGGGACAACCCCAGTGCTTCGCTAAGCCGCCCATTTGAGGCCGACGACGAGACGACGCCCAGGGCCTCAAAGGGAGCACCTCCTCTGCCCGAAGCCACAACGAGTCATTTTGCCCAATTTGCAAAGCCGAAGTCTAAGTCGAAAGAGCTCGACGCTCAAAAGACTCCTCAACGCCAACGCCGTAAGAGGGGATCTGAGGACATTGCTTCTCCTGCGCTGAGCCAGCGATCAATTGCGTCCTACTTCTCTCCTTCACCTCGAAAACAATCCGCTGGCATGACTTCAGAAATTATAGATCTGTTATCGTCATCGCCCGCCAAGCCGGTTGATCCTCCGCGACCGTCAATGCCGACGCCTCCAAGATTGAGAGGAGGCTTCATTCGAGATGATCACGAGCTACCGAGATTACCAGATTCGGTGACCAGACGAAGAAAGCCTCTCAAGAGAGCAAAAACAGCGCCAGTCACTGGAGACGATGACGACCTTACGATTACGATAAACCCAGCAATAGAACGACCGGCAACATCAAGTCAAATCGACGCAATCACTCTCGCCAGCACTCCTCAGCCACCAAAACGACCATCCGAGCCCAGCATCAATATCCAGCCAGAGACAGAAAAGCCACAGCAACCCAAATCAAGACCCAAACCCTCCTCTCGCCCCACATCATCATCCTCCTCCTCATCAACCACCCTCCGCCGCTCCCCGCGCCCCTCCAACACCACCCAGTCATCTCTCAAAATCTCTGCTCAAGTCACCAAGAAACGCATCATCCCCCGCGACTCCCTTCCAGGTTCCTGGAAAGAAATCGAAATCGACGAAATCGATCTTTCGGGCGATGGAAGTGGTTGGGCGCAAAGTGGTGGGAAAGCTAGACTTGTGAGCAGTATGACGACGACGGAAAATTTAAAGGTGAAGGGAAAGGGACAGGGACAGGGACAGGGAAAAGGGTGGAGGAAAAGTGGGATTGAGGTTTTGGATTTGACTGGGGCGGATTGATTTGGGCGTTGTTTGGGGTTTAGTGAAGGTGGATTGGGATAGAGATACTACCTATCTTGCTCTTGAGATAATGATTGTGAATGACAGAGCGAGCGGTGAGGGGATTTTCCTCTGGAGCTTGTTACCCACTACGAAGCTTTGCCCTCTGCATACACTTGATCCCAGGCTTTCGTCCCGTCTTCTGTCGAATATCCTAGATGTACAGCGGGAAACAATGCCTGCTGGAGGGACAATCCAATTCTTATACCAGAATCTCCAGAATCACAATACTCCTAACGACTTCCATCCAGGCGCCTCCCTTGACCGAGAGAGCTGTGCATGCTCTAGCGAGTTATAGGCGAAGCTCAGAGGAGACAGCCGCAATTTAGGAGCTGCTTGATTTTCGACTGAGGACGTGAGTTGATATAGATTGAGGCTTCATGAGCAGTTACGACTTCGCCTTTCCGCTCGCCGCATTGTCAGATTCCGATTGTGCGTATCGTACTAGTCCTCTATCTATTGCATACGGGACCTGGTTGTCGAGAACCTAGTGCTGGAGAACTGGAGAGCATACGTCTAGGGTGAAAGCTACATTTGAAAAGCAGTCTCCTGCGTTCTTCAAGAATCGGGCGCTGGAGGAAGGCCGACCTGGATCGCAATCCACTCCCAAATCACCATCCTGATCAGGCCGCTTGCTTTGCCCCGATGTTCGGGCCTCATTTTGACATGACCTCAAACGTTCTCGGAAGGATATGGGGTCGATCGATAAATACCAGAAACACTACTTGGCGCCGATCTTCCTGCCACTCCACTTCCAAGAAAAGTCTTCTTCGCTGCGATATAGGAAGAAGGAAATCTCATATGCTTTGGCAAAAGTCTGAAGCTGATGACCCTGTTAAGAAGTACGCCTGCAGGATACGACGGCAACGTTTTTCTCATGAATTGGTACTCTCGCACGGCATCCCCCTTACAGTCCGACATGGGATCTGATGGTCGAGACTGCGATCGATAGCTTGAAAGATATGCAGAAAGGTCTTCGGCTGCATAACGCTTTCATTCAGTGGAGATTCGGAGGGGATGAAATCTTGTGTGTCGGCTCATGGACAACTGGGTCAGTCTTTGACTCTGGCAGACAAGTCGCGGGCCTGATCAACTCGAGCCATCCAATTTCCCGATTCGCAATGGCCTCAGTCTGGTCTATTACCCGATCTCGGCTGTCTTGGCATGGGACTTCTTCGCCAGGAGCCAGCTGATGCTATACTTGCTCCCACAAACCTAGACCAAGAAATCAACTCCTCATGGAGTTCAATAGCCACTAAGTTAGGAGAGCTGGAGGATGGTGACGTACGGCTCAATATCCGCTGCTCCGGAGCAACACAGATCCAGCACTTTGGGACTTGATCATGGTGTCTTCCGAAATGTTCTTGACTCCAGAGCTATTCAGCGAAGATCAAAGCACACCAGAGATCTTACTATCCGACGGAACTTGCGGACCAGGCTGGTAAAATGTGCTCGTGCTATCAAATTTCCCTCAGCAGCATGTCGAAAGATCCTCAAGAGCTTGCTTGGATCTCAGCAAGACTTTGAGAAGAAACGCCTGACCTGGATGAGTGAGCCTGTCAAGCAGAAATGGCGAGAGTCCTGGTTGGGTGGAGATTTCGAGAATGCAATTCCTATTTCACAGTCGTGGAGAGCGTTTGGCACCATGCTTCAGAGATGCGGCAACGCTTCCTATTCATCTTCATCCTGCCCGTGCCTGGACGAATTCCAGATGTCGTTTAAGCATCCCATCACTTTTCTGGCGCCTCGTACGTTTTCTTTTGCAAGCTTAAACGGAATGTCGTCTCATACACCTGGGACCACTGCATCAGCTGGCTAGAGCTGAAAAAAAGTCTTCTTCCTTCGATGCAACATTCGTCTGTCCATCGCCGCTTCAACTCTCTCGGATAACCTCGGTCCTGGTCCCGGATGTCGTCTTACCTTGTGCAGAGCCCTTCAATCCTCGCCGGAAAAAAACCTTAAGCATGGTACGCAATATCATATAACAACCTTATTGCATCGCAAGCAATAGAACTATGCTCGAAAGATTGATCCAGCATTTGTAACATCTCGAATGCCATCCCGATTAAGAAGAAGATCAAGAGCAAGGTTCCCATCGTCACGATACTTTTCTTGCCTTCGGTATACTTCACCGCTTTTCGTGCTGGTTTAGATTCGTCAATATGCTCAAGCCTGATTCTCGCTCCCGATATCATTGTCGACGAACGGGGGCTTCCGGGAGTACCATCAGCTCGATATTCATTTATGGGCCAGCTTAATTTCCTCAGTCGAATGCAACGAGATCTTGGCTTCGAACAGAGTCCATGTCCATATTTCTCTCCAAGGGCTCGGAAGCCCTTCGAAGAAGCAGAACATTTCTCAGTTCCTCGATGTTTCAAGGCTTGCCTGCGCTCACCGGCGTGATGGTCGTTTGTACAGGTGTCGGCGTGTCAGTGTCACAGATCTTGTTGCTTGGAAGAAGTTCTCAGCCGTTGTTGCGCGCAATGATTCCGACTCTTTGGCCAAAGCACAAATCAAAGTCCTTGTCTTGCTCGATGAATGGAGGGAGTTCGCTGACCGCCCAAGTTGCGGCTGCGTCCGACGAAAGAGGAGGTCGTGATGATCATGATGCGGGTGTATGAGAAGAAGGAGCAGCGGCGCAAGCTTGGGATTCTGGGTCTGACGAATGTGCTGGGCAGTTTCTCGAGTGATCGATATCGGCGAGAACCTGAGCAGATGTTGTGGATTGGAACGTGTCAGAGTCCGGCGTACCTGGCGAAGAAGATGAGAAGAACTCGGATCTCGTGCCATCGGACTCGCAGCGTGGTCTTGGACAATACCCGGATAAGTCTGCGGCGGTGGTAGAAGAGAGTGCGTGGTGGTAATGAAAATGAGTTGGACATTACATCAAGAAGACTCTCGTGATTCACATTCGTTATACTGACCGGGCTCTGCATCGATCCCCTTGACCCCAACTCTTTCTCCGAGATGTTGTTTAGAACAGACGTGAACTCGTGAGCCCTAACGAGACGACGCCGAGCGTGTCCAGTCCGAGTGCAATGAAGGGGCCGCGTCCGTGGTCTGTGTTGAAAAGCTGCCGCGCATGATCAGTACGCGCGCTTGGACGGTGCCTAATTCTCGTGATCATCGGTAGTAGGCAAGGAGTTGGTAGTAGGGCACGTCCACCGGAACGATCATCGTTCGTCCTTCCATGATCACGCGTGGGATGGAGATGTCGCTCATGCTTTTGCTCGTATTTCTTTCTTTTCCAGGTGCTGGACACCATCGTCTAATCGAAGCCTTGCGCTTCTACTCCAACACCTTCCACAGCCCGGGCAGTAGTATATCATTTAGTCCTTCATCTTGATAACACAGAGGGAGTGGAACTTCTCTCCACATCCATCGCCATCGCCATCGCATTGCCCGTCATTTTGACTGTGCTCTGTCGCTTTGCGCCTGGCTCTTGGTTCGATAATAATTTGGTGGGATGGGAGTAGCGGGTTGGCGAAAGCGTACGCAGAGAAGTCTACCGTGGTGACGAGAGGGAGAGGGACAGAGGCAGAGAGAGAGAGAGAGAGAGAGAGTGAGTGTGTGTGTGTGCTTGTGGTGATAATGCACATGAAGTAGATGAGATAAAAAAAGATATTGAAAGCTGATTGAACAAGAAGCTGACAAAGTTCCCGAGTCAGATTCGAACCCGCAACCAACAAAAAAAGTAAGGGAAGGATACGCAACGGGGCATTACGTACGGAGAGGCAACGGCATTGGGGACCTGAGCTACTTCCCTGATTGGAGGGAATTTTAATGCGTTGATAAATACTCACTCTGCTGGAACAGCCGAAGATCTGCCCTGAACTCACTCTGCCCCAGCGAGATTCGTTCTGACTCTTGCCTCACATTACACAAGCCTTTAATCAATCATTGGCAAGCTCGTTAGCTTACTCGTAGTTTCGATCTCTTTCAATTAACCAAGCATCACCACGGGGCCGGTGACACCGTTCTGAATTGTCACAACACTTCCACAGCGGCTACCGACAAGCACAGTACCGCGCGCACGCTGTCTGCTTCCATTTCGAAGTCTCGGGTTCCAAGAATGGACGCGAAATCGACATTCTTTGGCTCAGACGTTCATATCCAGTCGAGCAACGGTGAGGTTGAAGTCGCAGGATCCCTTTGGCCACCTTCAGCTGTCCCACGAATGGCGTCTTCCCATGCAATCGATATGAACTTCACCCACGTTGACTTGCTCTTCTCCAATGCGCTCAAGCGTCAACGCAGCTGCGGTTTCCTGCACTGCCCGCCGGTGCAAAGCCTTTGCAACATTTCCTTCGAGAGCACTTGCATCGCAAAATTCAGAATCTGGCCGACTCAGCCGGTGCAAGACTACTACCACTGGCAACAGGGTAATGAGCCGCCAGCTCTTCGTACCTTTGGCGGCCTGCAGATGGACAAGGCTTGGCGAGGTCTGAATTGTGATGTTTCAAGAGCTCGGAAAAGGATCGTATAGGCTATCAGGGGTCTTCTGGAAGGCTACAGAGCCCTACAGTCAGCCTCAGTATAGTTCATCGACCAATACGGCACCTGCATCAGGCTGAATGTTGAAGGCTCCACCACGTCGATACGACTGGATCGACGTGAATCGACACTATGTTTACAGACCACGGCACGGCTTCAGCTATCGTCAGAACCTTCTCGGCTACATTGTGTCCTGGACGCCTGAAATCAGCAAGTCAAAGCGCCAAGGACCGACGTTCCATGGACGAATGTGTGCGGTATGTCAAGACTGAGTTTTCGGACTTGGCTCCGGAAAGCCCCTGCCACCCAAGGCTGGGAGGCATTCTGGGCTGCGAGAGAACAGGTCCATGCCATTCATTCATGAATCAGTCTGAGAATTCGCACATCTCACACATCTGGCAAGGTACTCAAGAGGCTAATGTTCTCGTCCTGACCATACGAGGTCGTGGTCATAGCAGATCTGGTTCTCGATTGTGTGTGGGCTGAGCAAACGATCTAGGCCGCGGCCGGATGGGAGTATTTGGCACAATAATGTATAGCGATGGGCAGGTGGAAGAAGTGGTATGAGCGATACGGCGGGAATCGTGAAAGGACAGAATGGGAGGGAAAGGAGACCCACTCTTGGCAAACCTAGATTCCACCTCATCTACATCGACTTCCTCACTGCAACCTGTAAACGAGAGCTATTGCAGTACTTCCAGGCAAATCTCGCCGTCTTTGGAGCCTTTTCCCTGCTCCTGCCGGCAATTCAACGGGCATGACTCTTCTCACAAGATGCTGGATTGTGCCAGACCACAGCTGCGGGTCTCAGCTCGTACAAAGAACCTTTCTCTTCATCTCCATTTGTTGATCGTGAAACAGAAAGATGCGAGACCCAGCAAACATGACAGAGATCTACTTCAGCAACGGCTCAAGCCCTGACAGTCTCCAATCGCTCATTGCAAAGCATAAGCACCAGTGACAGGGAACGACATGTCCAAAAACGACTCTCCAAGCAAGAAACGCAAGGTTTCCGACATTTACCAAGGTAAGGGGAACAGCAGTGACAAAGCTAAGAGCTCGCTAATATGTTACCGCGAGAAGATGCAGTCATCAACCCGAAGACCAAGAATCCGACACCCGCAGAAGATTCCAAAGACAAGTTCGAGATGATCTCCAAGGAGGAAGCCATTGATGAGCAAAAGAAGGCTGGAATGGGTCTCAGCGATTACACTATGGTCAAGGACAAGCCAAAGAAGGGGTTGACAGAAGATAAACAGCTGTTGGACGGAGAGAATGAGAAGATTGAGGGTCAAAAGGAGAAGGAGCACAATGGGGACAAGAGTGGTGGGAAGAAGTGAAGTAGAGAGCTCCTGCCTAATCAAGCAAGCTAGGTAGCGCCGTTATGAGTGAATCACGCTGTACGTATTGTGACGCAACAGTGTAGGCTAGGCAACAATAGCCGGAGCACTGGCCACCAGTCGCGAATACACAGTTGTGAAAGTGAGCAATTCTAACGACTCCAGCGACACCAACACCAACACCAGCAGCAGCAGCAGCAACCACAACAGCAACAGCAACAGCAGCAGCAGCAACAACAGCAGCAACAGCAACAGCAACAGCATCAGCATCAACAGCAGCATCAACAGCAGCATCAGCAGCAGCAGCCGCAACAGCACCAGCAACAGCACCAGCACCAGCACCAGCACCAGCACCGCCGCCGCCACCACAACCGCCAGCATGTAGGTTTCTGTACGCGCTCCATACAAATACCACTACTAACAGTAGCGCCCAGGGCATCTTTTTTCACCTCTGCTGCCCGCCTCGTCGCCGGCGCCGGCCTCTTGGTGGCCTACCGAAAGGTGGCCACCAATGCCACCACCAACACCGCTGCCGCCGCCATCGCTTCCGCGATGAAGAGTAAGCTATACACCTCACCTCATTTCTAATAGCACATATGCTAACCCATATTTCAGAGAAGAAGGAAGAGGAGAAGAAGGAGAAGGAGAAGGAGAAGAAGGAGAAGGCTGCGGCCTTTGACGAATTTGTTTTTTCGAATTTGTAAATTTTTTTCAAAAAAAAAACTTTTGGCTGCGGCCGCTGCGCGGTGCGCGGCAAGGATGACGATATCAGAGTTTCCTTTCCAGTTTCCACTTTCATTTCTCTTTCGACGATGCGATAGAGCGGGCGATGGCGGTTTGTGAGGGAGCTGACTGGAGTTGTAGATGAGGGAGAGTAAGAGGTACATCACCCACGGCTGCGAATTGGAGAGGGTGGCGACAACGCTTCTATTTCAGCGACGCGACAGGGCGGACGAACAGCGGTTTGTAATGTATCTATAGAGGATGCTGACCGGAGCTGCTGACAAGGGAGGCTAATAGACCATCACCCACGGCCCTGCGAATTGGAGAGCGTGGCGACACTGCTTCTATCCTAGGGACGCGACCAGGTGAGCGACGTCGATTTGCGAAGTATCTATCGAGCATGCTGACCCGAGTTGCAGACAAGGGAGGTCAAGAAGTACATCACTCACGGGCCTGAAATTAGAGAAGGTAGCGACTCTACTTCTATTCCAAACGATGCGACAGAGCGGACGACAGCGGTTTGTGATGTATCTAAGGGGTAAGCTTACCGGAGTTGCAGACAAGGGAGATCAATAGATCACCACCCACGGACCTGAGATGGCAACACCGCTTCTATACCAGCTATGCGACCGGGCTTGTGACGGTGGTTTGTGATGTATCTGTAGAGCAGGCTGACCGGAGTTCTAGGCAAGAGAGATCAATAGATCATCACCCACAGGCCTGAAGGCGGCGACACCGCTTCTCTCCCAGCGACTTGACCAGGCGAGCGACATTGGATCGTGAAGTTTCCAAGCCAGGAAGATTATCCGAGTTCTCGGTGAGGGAAGTCAATAGACACAACACCCACGGGCCTGCAAGTGACACCGTTTCTATCCTTGCGACGCGAGCAGGCGAGCGACAACGGACTGTGAAGTTTCCAGGGCGGCAACATTATCGGAGTTCTCAGTAAGGGAGACCAATAGACACATCACAAAGAAATCTGTGAGTCTGGTATACGGTGAGCCCGCTCCATAGCATCAAGACGTCCGGGCCCGCGGCTGCGGTTTTTGATGGTTTCAAAAGAATAAGCTAACCGGAGTCCTTAGTGAGGGAGGTTAATGGACCCATCACTAAGAGATCTACGAGTTTGGTATACGGTGAGCCCGCTCTATCGCATCAAGACGTCCGGGCCTGTATCTGCGGTTTTTGGTGGCTTCAAAAGACTGAGATAAGTAGAGTTCCAGACAAGGGAGGTCAACGGACACATCACCTAGACATCTGCAGGTTCGGTATACGGTAATTCCGCTCTATCACATCAAGACGTCTGGGCCCGCGGCTGCGGCTTTTGAAAGCTTTAAAGGAATGAGCTGATTAGAGTTCTAGACAAGGGAGACAAATAGACACTCACGTAAAGCCTTGTAGTGGCAGAGCTATGAGTCCGCTTCCATCACATCAAGACTTTCGTGCCCGCGGCTGCGGTTTGTAAAGGCTTTAAAAGAATAAGCTAACTAGAGTTCTATACAAAGGAGACCAATAGACTATTACGTAAAGGCTTATAGTAGTAGAACCACGAGTCCGCTTCTATTAAACTAGGGCGACTAGGCGCGTAGTTGCTGTCCGCGAAGTGTCTAAGGAGGAAGCTAACTAGAGTCCTAGACAAGAATACTAATACGCGGATTATGTATTAGTTTTAGAGGCTTGCTACGGTAATAAAACTACTTCGATCTTATAAACGAGCTTAGGCCGCTTACTACGATTTGCGAAGGCTTAAGGAAATAAACTAAACCGGAGCGGTAGATTCGAAGATTAACCGATACGTTACCTATACCTATAGGTTAAGTAAGGCGAAGATACCGCTTCTAACGTATCGAGATATCTATACGAGTAGCTACGGTTTGTAATAGCTTTAAGAAAGGCGCTAACTAGTAGATTAGTATACGTATTAACCCTAGAAATTTATACTATATACTACGAGAATGCTACTTCTATCGTAGTAAAGTGTCCCTACGCGCGGCTTCGGGTTCTAAGTCTTAAAAGAGTATCTTAACTCGGAGTCTAAAAGATAAGATCGAAAAGCGAACTACCTATAGGCTTATTAGATTAGCGAAGTTATAGAGCCCCTTCTATTTTTTTTTAAAGCGTTAGAGTCTATAGTCTCGATTTGTAGACCTTCCTACGACTAAGATAGTAATAAGCTCGATAGAGGAGAGCTAATAGCTCTTCCTCTTAACGCCTATAGAACCGCTATAGTAACGATACCTCTTCTAACGTATCGAAGCGTTAGGGCTAGCGATTACAGTTAGGGGCCTTCGAGAAGATAAAGAAAATAGGGAGTTCTATATAAGATATTTAGTAGCGTATTATATCTCCTCTAGCGACGAAATCGCTTCTACTATATCGGACCGTTCGGGCCCGCAATCTCGCTTCGTAGACTTTACGAAGACGATAAGAGTAGCGAGTCTATATAAACAAGCTAATTATATATCTTTTCTCCTTATTGCCTCTAAAACTACTACGGCGACGACTTCTGTATTAGCTCTATCGCATCTAGTGTTCGAAGCGCTTAGCAAAGATTTGTAAATCCGTAATACAGCGAGTATAGCGAGTTATAGGCAGGAGTAACCGTTACATTCGCGCTTATCTACGCTAATTGGCGTATTTGGCGTATAGTACGGGATTACTACGATCGCAGAGGCTTTCCGTAGCCTGAACAGAGACGCGATAAGTCGAAAGAGTAGTTTAATATATCGAACGGTGTAAGTTACGAATCTGCTAACGCACTGCAGCTGTGTCAGGGGCGTCAGCATTCGCTTTTAGAGCGAAATTTGGTCTGCGGTTATCTTTACGACCACTCCCGGGCGTAGCAAGATCTCCGCTCGCTTTCTATTGCATCGACTAGTCTAAGCGTGCCTCTGCGATATGCAAAGCTGATAAGAGTTGTAGCTATTAGGGACCAACGCGTTCTTATCCTATAGCCTTGAATTCGTCGTAGCTAGAGCTATAGAGAATGTCGTGCCAGATCCTTCTCGAATTAAGCTTGATAGCCCCTTGTATAGAGCCCCTAAAGTATGTTTCTACTCGAATTGACGAGCTTACGGTAGCTGAACTTATTACGTCTGCTTGCATAAGCGATGAAAAAGAAGTGTCCATCCCTCTTGGTATACTCTAGTCTTGATGGTCTCTACGGTCTCGGAAAATGGTAGTATAGTATCCAGCCTGATCCCATACCGGCGTACCGATTTCATTCACGGTCGCCAACGCATACTCTGAGCAATTACTGAAGAGTTTGGTGTTCCGGGTATCGTTTGCATTGCATCGGGGGCTTCAGGGGCGCGATTGCAGTTCATGGACGTTTCGTGGACAACTATGAACGACTCTTTCCAATGCCGGAGATCGATAGTGTGGCGCTCAGGCGGCAACAGAGACTTCGCTGCCATCGCAATCAAGCGGCATGCTTGCTGTCTGAAATTGAAACCCTTGCGATCGTCCTCTGTCCAGCTGTGATCGTCCTTTCTCCAGCTTTGATCGTACTCTCTGGAGCTGTGACGCTTAGAGTCTTATTTTGTCGGAAGGTTCGAAGCGTTGGCTATGTTTTGCGGTGGCGGAGCTTGTGGTATCGGAGGCGAATGAGCGGAAGGTCCAAGAATGACACGAAATCGTTAGGTATTGCTGTCGATCGAACGGTGTTCGGGCAAATCTCTCACGGTCGAGTTGAGGTGACAGGTCGACCGTTGTACTGGCAAGGTCTCGACGTAAGGGGCTCGTGCAAGAGGACCATGCTATACCACTTCAGGGGAGTGACATACAGCATAGATGCGCGGCATCTTGCATGTCATGATAAAGAGAACTGCTGCGTGTACCCGGTTGATTGCAGAAGAGGGTCGAGAGAAGTTCTAGAGATTGCTCCTTATTGCCTTCTCCTTCTAATTTGACCGCGTATTCTACGTCTTTCCCATATTGACAGCAGGTTGGCCGCGCCGTTGGTTGCCGCAGGGACAGCTCGCAGTTCGGGCAGCTTCTCGTTCCATCTGCCTGAATTTGCCCCTACAAAAGTGCAAGTGACAATCGCCTTCTGTTCCGCTTTCTCTTCCACTTCCCCTTCAAACCTTTCCACACCATCTGCCACCCCACCCCCGATCGGTCTGAGATGGAGGCCGTCATCAAGCAGCTGTATAGCGGCAAGGAAGACCGCCTTGGCAACTTCCAATGGCATACGGAGATGCCAGAGGTGCGACCATCTCAGCTCTGCAGATGCGCTTGACTGTGCTAACCAGCTCATTTTAGGACCTTGGAGCGCCGGCCGAGGATTCAGAGAGCGAGAAGTTCGCCATCATTGTGAGGCACCAGCGCGTCTACAATGATCCGAAGAAAGTTCTCGAGATCCACTCGATCTCGGTGCAGAGCCCTCTCCTGCGCGAGCTGCTTGCGGAGGTGCTCGAGGGATATCCAGGCGTGACGCCTGGATTGAAGAACCTCGAGTTCTCTGGTCGGTACGCCGACCTTCTTATTCTTCCACTCGTCCTGTACTACATGCTAATCGACACTGCACAGATGCGAGAGCCTCATCCATCGGTGGCCAGTCCTCCGTGCCAAAATTGCCGAGCTCGAGGACCAGCGCAAGCGTCCCAACGTCGACTCTGACCAGCTCTCCAAGCGCATCGAGCACGCCAATCTGCTGAACGGCCTGCTTGTTCAGGAGTTCTCCGATGTCGAAAAGTCGATGGGCGACATGGTGCAGAACCGTGTCATCACCTACGAGTAAGTTCATCCATTTCGACCTATCGACATGCCCCCTGCAATCTCCCAGACAGACGTTCACAACCAGACACTGCATTTTCAACCCGCCGCTGACTTATGTTCCCTAGCCACCTGTGGGTCCTCTTCCATCCCAGCACCACAATCTACGCCAAGAGCGACAACCAGGACCGCGCATTCCGTCTCCAGTCAAGCACATACGGCGCGGATAAAGACGGCACCCCCTGCTTCTGGCTGACATGCGTCTACGTCGACTACGACGGCCAGCGTTTCGGCACACAGCCCCACCGCATTGGCATCCAGAACTTCGAGGGCACTGCTCTGATCCAAAACCTCAGCGCATACCCGATTGACTTCCACGACGATGTCAAGGGCATTCAAGCAAAGCTGATCGAGCGAGGCGGAAAGGTCGAGGCACTGGCAGGCACACACTACCGCTCGTACAACGGCGTGGGCTGGCGCAAGAACGCGCTTTACGGAACGAAGGACAAGACGACTGTTTGCGGTCGAGTGGTCATTGACGGCTTCGGGTTCAATCGCTTCGCTCCGGACCAGGCAGTCTATGTCACCTCGTTCAACGCCAAGCCGTCTTCTGCGGGCAAGCAGTCTCGAATCGATTTCCGGCGTGAATACGACGACGATGTGCTGGCCACCTTTGCAGCTACATTTCACGGTGGTGGAGGCATGCCCGCAGATGGTTTCTTCGAGACGAACGACAAGGAGCGCGCACCGTTGACAGAAGACCAGAAGATGCTGTGCTCGCCATTCGTGCGTGGCTACGCCCTCCGCGAGAAGGTCTGGCTGAACTTCTTCGTCAACTGCGTCTCAGACAACACCTTTTCGGACGACGCATTCGACGCTCTGACTCTCCCCAAGGCACAGAAGTCCTTGATCCTGGCCTTCTGCGAACACATGAAGACCGATGGCAGCAACTTCGACGATGTCATTGCCGGCAAGGGTCAAGGCCTTATCATTCTCCTGTCTGGTCCGCCAGGCGTTGGCAAGACGCTGACGGCAGAGTCGGTAGCCGAGCGCATGAAGGTGCCGCTCTTCATCATGGCTGCTGGCGACCTCGGCATCAGCTCCGCCGACGTCGAGCACAAGCTGAACGACTGCCTCGCCATGTGCTCTCGCTGGAACGCCATCCTCCTTCTCGACGAAGCCGACATCTTCCTCGAGCAGCGCAACATGCACGAGCTCGAGCGCAACAAGCTCGTCTCCATCTTCCTCCGCGTTTTGGAATACTACCAAGGCATCATGTTCCTCACCACGAACCGCGTCGAGACTTTCGACACCGCCTTCGCATCGCGCATCCACCTCAGCTTGGAGTATCCGGAGCTGAACAAGAAGAGCAGGAAGGGCATTTGGGAGACGTTCCTGAAGCGACTGCCGGAACATAACATGAGTGAGAAGGAAGTCGAGAAGCTGGCCGAGAAGCAGTTGAATGGTAGAGAGATCAAGAACTTTCTCAAGTCGGCCCAGCTGCTGGCGAATTTCGAGAAGGAGGTCCTGGCATACCAGCATGTCGAGACGGTCATCGATACCATGGCCCATCTCCACAAGTCCAGCAAGGCATCGGATGAGGCCAAGGCCAGCATCTTCCAGTAAGCGTCTTGAGCGCAGGATAGCATAGCATCGACACAGATGAGGCGAAGGCCAGCATCTTCCAGTAAGCGTCTTGAGCGCAGAATAGCATAGCATGGCATCGACATGGATGACTGCGAGATAGCGTGAATACCATCGAATCGCAGAGAATCTCGCTCTGACCGCGTTCTGGCAATTGACCTGGAACGTCACCCGTAAGACGGGGAGGAGAGAGATCTCAACTCCTACTCTTCCTCTTCATACTATCCCGAACTCGTCTCAACAGACCACGATCTTTTCCCTCGCCAGAAGTTCTGACACTCTCACGCCTCGAAACAGGTCGGCTTGCTTCACTGGGAGAAGCCAGACTTCGAACTGCGTTTGTAGACGTCGTGGGTATCGTTTTTGATACATCTCCTCTCTCTTTCGTCGTGGCGAGTATCTGTTCCCCTGGCACGGCTACTGGAGTCGATACCTTCGTAATCGCGCTGCCGACTCGAGTATCTTCAGCCTTCTCTTCCTCTGCACGTCCTTCCATCCTCGATCCATCTCCCTCTTGATTCTTCTCCGGCTGCGATCTCGTCTTCAAAGTCGTAGCAGCGGCTCGAACTTCATAAAGCAAGCTATCATCCACAAACTCCTGACGATTTAGACTGGATCCTTCGACAGAGGAAGGCAATTCATCGTTCCCAGCACTCGTTGTCATTCCCCCGACACCAAAAACATGCCTCAAACTCCCCTCCCTAGCTCTCCCTTCATAAAGCAACCCATCATCCACGAAATCCTGCCCTCTGAAACAAAATTCTTCCGATCCATCTTTCTTCTCTCCTTCCCTGGATGTCTCCTCCTCCTCCTCCTCCTCCATCTTTGTCGTCACAAATCCCGAATTCATCCTCGTCCTCAAATCGACACACATATCCCCATAGCGTGACTTTCGTGAAGAGAACGACGTGTCATGGCCAGAATCTCCATCCTGATTTGAAGGGAGAGCCGCAGGTCCTACCTCCTCGGTAGCTCTCTCATACAGATAAGATTGAGAAAGATCGTCGTCGTTGTCCGCAAGATCAACAGCTCCGAGCTGGCCGACCTCGTCCCGGGTTCCTGACATGGGCGAGAAAGGCTTCAACGGCTTCGGTCTTTCCAATTTCGGCTTTACCGGTGCGGGTAAAGGCTCGGTCTCGACAGGTCTATTGGTACTACTGTCTGCAGCAGTGGGTACGGAAAGAATCGAAGAGGAACTGTCTTCACGCTCATCGGCAGGAATCTCAATCTCACTATATGGTATCACAAATTAGACCAGTACCAAATCACCCAAAAAAAAAATCCAATCTCCAACTTTTTCACATTAAAAAAAAGAATAAGAAACAGGGACCCGCTCACTTCTTCTCCTTCTCCAGATCCTTGTTCTGATCCTTCGCCCTATAAACATCGCCAGTCAAAGAAATCTCCAACTCTGTATTCCTCCCCCTCCCTTGCTCTTCCAATTTCCGAACCAGCGGTAAGACCTCTCGACCAAAATGTTCGATTTCTTCTTCATAGTGCAAAAACGCCGTCAAAATAATATTCACCCCCAAACTCTTGAGGAGAACGATGCGTTCGGCAATCTGTTCCTTGGTTCCGATCAACTTGGTCTTGAACCCGTCGTTGTATTGCACTAAATCTTCGAATTTGCTGTTCGCCCACATGCCGCTTTTGTTGGAAGTGGATGAACCGGCGTTCTGGACTTGTTGGCGGAAACCTTCGACGGCTTCGGCGTCGGCTTTGCCTTGGATTTCTTGGAGGACGCGGATGGCTTCTTCTTCGGTTTCGCGGCAGATGACGAAGGCGTTCAATGCGAAGCCGACTTCTCCTTCGCGGTTGTTCTTCTTCGCGCGCTCCTTGACGTCGCCGATCTGGCTCTGGAATCCTTCGAGAGTGTTGCCGTTCATGAAGTAGTAATCCGATACGGAGCCGGCGTTCTCCTTGGCATCGTCGGAGTTGCCTCCTTGGAAGATCTCGGGGTATGGGCGGCCAGGCAGGTTGAGCGGCTTTGGCTTGAGTGGGTAATCGTGGAACTGGTAGAAGTCGCCTGTGAAAGAGAACTTCTCGTTGGTCCAAATGCCTTTCAAGCATTGGATGAATTCCTTCGAACGCCGGTAACGCTCAGCGTGGTCAAGCCACCACTGACCGATGGATGCGAACTGCGAAGATGGTCAGTGAATGAAGCCATGTTAGTTTATGCACGCTTACTTCAGCACGGAACCAACCAGATACTACATTGACGCATACGCGACCTTCGCAGTAATTGTCGATCGATGCAATCTGCTTAGCAGCGACCGCTGGGTTCCAAGGACCTGGTAGAAGCGCAGCGATAACCTTCAGGCGCTCAGTCGACATCAGCAAAGCTTGTGAGAATGACACAGGCTCGTGTTGGTTGTCGGCACCGTATCCAGCCATGAATCGGATCTGTGATAGAGCGTATTCAAAGCCAACCTGCTCTGCGATTCTCGCATAGCGAATGTTTGACTTGAGGTCCCAGGAGGTCCTCTGCTTGATCTTGGAGATGACGAGACCACCAGACACATTGGGCACCCAGTATGCGAAACGGACGCGGTCGGGGTCTGAATTCAGTGTGTCGGCATAGCTCAGGTCGTGGTGATCGTTCGACACAGCACCAATGCCATTGGGGACACTCCCATTCACAGGTGAGGCCGCTTCTCGCTTGTGATTCTCCTCGCCAACAGGAACAACCACTCGCTTGCCGCCAATCGTTCCAGTACGCAGGCGATCGAGCGCGTCGTTAATGCCTGCCAGACCGCCCTCGGCAATCTCAACCTCAGGAAGTCGTAGAGAATGTGCTACCAGTAGATCCTCGAGCCATACAGACATGGCCTCGCCAACTTGTGGGAATTCGTGGAATGCCTTGATCGGCACTTGGTGATGCACGACTCCGCGGCCAACGCTCTTCGGCATGCCATTCAGGCCAAGAAGATGAGAGTTGAGGCCGCTGTCGGATTGAGTGAGAGCGTCTTGCAATGATGTGGCAGAGTCCTTGCCGTTGCAATCAATGCCGAAGCGAAGTTTGCCCCCAGTCACGGCCTTTAAAATGTCGACGGCGCGCTTGTCATCGTACTTGTCAACCAAAAAGTCGGCTCCAAGCTCAGAAAGGCGTGGTCCACCTCTGGCGATATCTGCGATGCATGCAACCTTCAGGCCTGCCAGCTTTGCGATTTGAAGGGCAAGCTGGCCGGTCATGCTGTTTGCACCCCAGATCGCGAGCCATTCGCCAGGCTGTGGCCGCTCAGACTGAGCGATGCCGCCAAAGATCTCATTTCTGATGTCTTCGGGCACGTCGCGAGGATCGAGTTGCTTGGTCAGGCTGAAGAGATCCGGTCCTCTCGGGCCATTCCTCAGGTTTGTGAGGTCAAGGCCAAAGCTGATGCCGAGAGCAACAGTAGCGGCCACGTAGGCCACGCCGAGTGCTGCAGCCTCTTTCACGCTGACGCCTTGTGGTATCCTTGTGACATTGTAGTCTGTCGTGACGACGTACTCTTGATATGCTGCCTTCCTGACATCGCGGTAGTCGGTCGATGGACCGAACACCACGTCTCCCTGCTGAATGCGGCTGCTGTTTCGTGGAGCTCTGACCACAATGCCGGCAAAGTCTCGCCCGTTGATCCAGGGATAGCTCGGCTGGCTGAAGCCATAGTCTGCCCCCTTCCAGTCGACCGGGTTCAGTCCAATGGCGAGGACTTGAATCAAGATCTCGCGATCACCCTTCAGGTCTGGGATGTCTTTCGACTTCTCCAGCTTGTACTTCTGTCTGGGACCATGCAGCAGGAGCAGATCTTGCTGTGGTGCGTCGAGTCGCAGGAATTCGTCGTTGGGTGGTGGGGACTCAGCGCCGTTCGAGGAGCCATTCGTGTAGCCATTGCCGTGCGCATGTGAGTAGCCGTTCGTGCCGTTCGTGGTTGGACTGGCGGCGCCACTGAGGCTGGAGAAGGACTTTGACGAATGCCCATTCGTCCTCCCACAGGCGGAGTCGGGCCTGAGGGAGAGGAAGGGCGAGTTGCTAAATGTTGACGGCATTGCTATGTGTACTGCGAGACCAATCGCCGTGGCCAAGAGAAAGAGAGCGAGAGCAGTAATGAGAGGAGCTCTGAGGTCAGGATGGGTAGTGATCCAAACCCACTCCAACGCAGGGTGCATCAACCGCTGATATGTATGCCAGAGGGCCCGGGTGGTCAGTTTCCGGGAAGGCCTGGCAACTTGGGCAGGCCGGTCAGCTGGTCCAATGCTATGACAGCATCGTTGGCGTTGCCGTTGTGCTCGAGCGCCAGTGGAAGAAGCATGTTTCGGAAAAAATCCAATGGACCATGGCATTTGGGTCCGAGGTGGTGATGGCGTGCTCGATTCCCCGCCACCTTGTGCCAGAGTGCTGAAAGCCTAATGCATGTGACTTGGCCTCAGCATACAAATCACGAGCACGTCAACGATCCTTGCCTTGCACCATTGCGAGTGACAAATGGCATGGGTTTCCGCCCAACATATGCCTTTTTTGGCCTCGTTGTCGTGCTCAGGACGTGGAGAAGGTCCGGCCAACAAGCGCTGGCCGAGTGGCCGCGCAGTAGAGATGGATGTGGGTATTGCATCCATATCAGCCTCTACTTCGGAGTTCCTCGCCTCTTCAAACGACTAGTTATATCCGGTGGCCTGACATACCGATAGCCCGGTCCCAATGAGCCGAGGCAGTGGTACTTCGCCTGTTGCACGCGCAGATGGCGTCCTTTTCTCGTTCGTTGCTTCGATACCCGCGGCTTCGTCCTCGCCTGTTCCTGGGCCCGGCCCCAAATGCCGTCCCCCATTGGACCCTGGGCCCCCCAATGATTCCTTCAGCCGCTGACCGGATTGGCAAAAATGTAGAACATGCTGGGATCGTGAAGGGGGTGCGTGAGTGGGAGTTGGCTGGTGTTTGGCTTCACAAAGTCTTGGCACACCAAGCACCGACCTCGCTTTGACCACAGGAACTGCCTTTGTGCGAACAGACATGTGAAAAGGCCGGCTGAGTATGGCATTTCAACATCCTCTTGAAAGTCCTGTTCCATTGGTACATTCGGCGAGACTTGGGTCGTTTTCACATACGACTGCTTGCCTATATACGCAAAATCTGCACCACAGACCTCAGACCTCAGACCCGTCGACAATGACGACTTTCTGCTCCGAATTTACGAACGTCTCAAGAGTACGACCATCGCCCTCTGCATCGCAAATCTGCTAGGAGCAGCAAGCGTGGAACTGCACAGACAGTCTGGAAATACGCCAATGTACAACCACACGAGTCCCGAAGCGTAAGAACAATGACCCCATTCACGTGCGAGCAAGGCAAGCCCGAAGACGATCACGAGATATTCACGAGCGTCGACAATAGCCAAGACGCACATGCTGCCTCCGAGCTTGAGCGGCCCGCAGCGAGGTTGGTCAATGCTCAACATGCTGCCTACAAGTAGCGACTGCAGCCGGCTATCATCACCTGTCGACCATCAACCCCTTCAAGACCAGCTCCAGCTCCAAACAGCCTCGATCCTAAGAAGCCTCGGAGCGACGCACTTACAACACACCCTCTTTGCGCCCAGCATGGCATTCCAAAAGCTATCAAAGGAGTCAGCAAAGGTCAGCGCACCTCACGAGCTTGACGAATATGAATACTAACAGCCTTGCAGCTCCTCTCTGAGCTTAAGAACGCTAAAATCCTCAAAGCCAAGGAAAAGAAGGCCTTGCGCGAGAAGACCAAGCGCAAAGCTTTACTCAAGGACTCGAAGGTCGTCGCGCTCCCTCACCTACCCCTCGAGATATGGTACACCATTGGAAAATTCGCCATCGATGCAGAAGACGAGATCTCGAACCGCTGGAGCAAGGATAAGAGGGAACAGAACGCACTCATGCGCCAACCTGGCATCACTCGGGTATGTAAGCGACTGCTCCATCGACCTCGCCACTGCTAACACTCCACAGACTTGCAAGCTGCTCCGTGACGAGCTCCTCCCATACTGGTACGCCACGAAGGCCACATGCGAGCTCTGGGAATTCTCCTTTTCGTGGGCCGATCTCAATATTCCGCAATGGCTGCGTATGATCGGTCCAGAGGCACGGAGGCGATTAGGAAGAGCGTATCTGCTTTTAAGAGAACCGGGACACACCGACTCCATCAATCAGCTGCTGGGACGGAAGAAGCACAAGAGCAAGATCCCCTTCACCCTTTCTGAAGCTGTGCCCTGGAAATGGAGTGACCACAAGCACCGCCGGCTTTACAAGAACCAGCTGCCCACGCCCGATGATCTCCGATTCGCCGTTGGGCGTTTCCGGTGGATGCGTAAAGTCACCTTCACGTAGATCAGAAGGGTCAAAGGCGAGCACGACAAGGGTGGCATTTCCTCTCGTTCGTTCGCACACTTGCCCCCTGCATTTTCTCCACGGCGACGACATGTCAAAACCATCACATCTATGCGACGACCTGGAAGCTCTCGCGCCTCTTCGTATAGTGAGCTGCGACCTACTCAGCCGTGAGCTGAACCTATAGAAGGCAAAAAAGCATGATACTGGATAAAGGCATATGTAGATCCAAATCCCAATACAATAACCCCAGAGCGGGAAAATCCACACCTCTCCCCTGCCCCTCCCACCCCCAACTCCCAATCAACACCCATCTCCCCCTCCCCCTTCCCATTCTCCAGCTGTGTGGGGGATTATGTCAGCATTGGTGGACTCGGCGCGGAATGCAAGCAACGCAGTACCTTCGAGGACGGCAACGGTAACGTCTGGATTTTCGCTGAGACGGGCAGCGACGGTCAAGCCGGCAGTGCCTCCGCCTATGATGCTGTATGCTGTGAGCAAAGTAGTGATCAAGCTTGGCGCAGCATTCGTTACTCACACGTAGTCGAATGTCTCCGCGAAGCTTCTCGCCGCCAGCAGGATGATAGACAAGAAGAGCATGTTGAGGTCGATTTGAACAAGGTGAACGGCGAAAGATTGGTAGCACACTTACCTATAAGAAGTAAGAGCATAGGATCATATACTACTGCTTGAGCAGAGATGCAGATGATCGCACTGCTTTCCACTTCTTTGAGCGATATGCAGCTGCACTGGTATAAACATCTCTTCACGAAGGAGCTGAGCTGGAGGCGGTGTCCGCTGTTTGACATCCTCAGAGGCAATGACAGACGGCGATACTGTCCACGATATTCCATGGATCCAGAAGCGTCTGCTAACTTATGCACCTCTTTTCATTTACCATGCTCTTTCGTCTGGAAGATCGCAAGTCGCGTCTCCTTTCTCCTGGATTCCGTCAAGCCGAGGAATCAGCACTGCCGCAACGATGTCCGACTGAATGAGGGGAACGGCTGGTTTTCGTCGTCGTAAGTCGTGGCTGGCGTTTCTTCTGCCCATGCTTTTCTCAGGCTAATCGAGCGAGTGAATGATTGGTGTTGTCTGCGGCAATTCTGTGAAACGGAGCTTCACGCTCAGCTCGAGCATTGAGCCTCATCACGTGGAAGGCTTGTTGAGAATGGATACGCGGCTTGCCGATGGTGCCGGAAGCTTGGGCATCCCGAAAAAAAAAACACAGCCACGATCTTTTACGGGACAGTCGAGGCTTGAAACGATGGCGCTTCGTGGGAGTGTTCTCGAATTGGAAGCTGGCTACAGTAGTGGTAGTTCTATCCCCTGAGTACATCCGAAATCTATACATGTACCCAAAGAAGGTGACATGGAAGGAATGTACATAGAACTCGTATTCTGCTCGGCCTCGGCGCGGAAAACTCGCTCGCATTCGGGCAGTGTTTCTATTTGTCCTATAGCGGGGACAGAACTTAGATTAATTAGCAAGCTGTAGCAGATCGATAGATGCTTGTTATAGAGATCGAAAATGAGGCGGATAGAGGTAGTATATACAATACCTAACTATAAGGGACGAAAAGTATAGAGTAGAAAGTAGGCAATCTGATAATAGATAAGGTGGGAGGCGTCATCAGGGCCCGGGCCAGACAATAATGCCAAGCAGAACTGCGCCTGGGATCAGTTCTTAACATTTTTAGGCTACTGTAGTTCTAGAATAGCGCGTGGACGACTTTGGCTGGGTGGTGAACGGCCACACGGTGCCGCTGACATCCAGTGGTAGCACTACGGGAGCAGGCAGATCTCGTCCCACCCGGCAGCACAGCTCTTCCTTTCCCTCTCCCATTATTCTGCATTCGCGGCTTTTGCTCTGGGGGCGTACGATTGCTGTACGAGATACTGTCGCTTCTGCTTCTGGCTACTAGAATACCTACACTTCTTGGACATTCTTGGCGATTTTGTATGTGTATGGTGAGTGCTTGAATTGGACGCACGCCACCACTCTTCAGCATCTTTGCCCGAGCCCGAAGCTGTTCAACCACCCTACGCCGACTCAACCCGCTTCACTTCACGCTTTCCATGACACCTACGCAATGACGGCGCTCTCGCGCAGCGCGCTGCATTTCGCCGCAGCATTCTTCCTCCTCCGACTTCTATCGACTACGCACGCCGCATTCATCACCTTCGAGGACTGCCTCCCGGACAGCACCAAGCACTCGAATCCGAAGCTCCTCCAGTTCACGCCGTACTTCGTTGATGCCTATTTCGGTGAAAACCAACCTCACAGCCTCAACCTTACCATCTATGGCAATGTATCCGGTCGCCAATTCGACAGCGAACTTCCGCCGGCCAGCGACACCACTTACTGGGATAACGATGATGAAGAGAATGGAAAGATAGTGGATGTGGGCAATGCGAACAAATATGCGACCTTGACCGCCGACTACCACATCTTGACATACACTGCCTACGACAATCGCGGCGAGCGATTCTGTCCGACTCTGGTCAATGGCTCGTGTCCATTGGGCCCGGCCTTCAGCGCAAATGCCAGCAATCCACAAGATCTACCTGCCTTCTTCATATCGCACGACTTTGGCAGCTCGTACTCTTTCAGCACCATCTCAACCACAGTCCACGTTATCAGTGGCGATGCTGGTGGATCGGACGTCGCTTGTGTCAGTGTCCAGATTACACCGGATCTCGGACCAAGCATCGCTGGCCTCTTGACATGGCTTCCGGCTGCCATCCTCATCATCAAGGGTGTCGCAACGCTTTCGGCCGCAATATGGTCTCCGTGGGGCAGTTCGGATATTTTCCGATGGAGCAGTAACTACGGTAGGGACGAGGATCTGCTTCGACTTGTCACACCTGGCTTCGGAGACTGTTTGCAATACATTCAATTTGTCGTCCTGACGGGAAGCTTGACGCTTCAATACCCGGGCTTCTTCCAGCCGGCCGTCCGTCAGACGAGCTGGTCGGTCCTGCTTTTCAACGAGAGCTATGTCAGTGGCGGGAGTGGCACGCAGAGTCTCGTGGATGGACTATACAGGACAAACGCCACTTATGGCCTGACAGGGATGAGCCAGCTCATTGGAATGTCGGAAGGTCAGGACACTTGGGCGTGCATGGCTATTTGGCTTCTCGTCATCGCAGGAATGGTGGTCCTGCTTTGTCAGGCTGGCTTCCTGGGTCGCTGGATCTTTCATATCGCCACCAAAAGGATTGAACAAGACCTGCGCAAGAAGAATCTGCCCTTCACCTTGGGCAACATGGTCAGGCTCCTGTTCAACTTCTTCATCCTACCCATCGTCGCATTAAGTTTCTTCCAGCTGGTCATCGCGCCGCACTCTTCGACGAGCGTCGTAGCTTGCGCTGCAGTATTACTTCTGATCATGATTGTCTGGGCCGGTTGGATATTGAGGATCATCTTCTCCACGAAACCTCGGACCCTGCTATTCGATGACATGTCGACAGTCTTGCTCTACGGCCCGCTCTACAACACATACAGCGACAGCGCAGCTCCCTTCGCGCTCGTCCCGGTCTTCATCACCTTCATGCGCGGAGTTGCAATCGGTGCGGTCCAACCTTCAGGCATTGGCCAGATCATCGTCCTCGCCATTTGCGAAGTCATTCTCATCCTGACATTGAACGGCTTCCGACCCTTCCAAGGCCAGACAAGCATGAACTTATACCATACCTTCTTCGCCAGCGTACGTCTGGTGACAGTACTCCTCATGATCGCGTTTGTGCCCACGCTTGGCGTGACCGAAGCCCCGAAAGGTTGGATTGGCTATATCATCCTGCTGCTCCATGCCTGCGTCTTGATCTTCGGCTTCTTCCTCAACGCCGCGCAAACGCTCGTCGAGGTCATCGCGAGAGCATTGGGTGCTGGAGGCGACTCGAGTGGCGCAGTGAGAGGTAGTATCTTGAACTGGCGCATGCTCAAGAAACGTCAAGATCGAGGCACCGCTGATCGTGGTAGTATGATGAGCAGCGCTGCCATCTTGAACAAGGCCGACACCAGAAGTCAAGGCTACGGAACGCGAAGTAGATCAATCTCGGCTAGTAGCCAGCAACTACTCAATCGCATGAGCGGCTTCGAAAACTTCAGCCAAGGCGGCGAGGCGGTCAGCTCCCCTGGAGACGAATTGGAGCAGACGGCGACGTTTGGTTCTGCTGGCGTCGCAAATGGCAGGACTTCTCTTGCGAAGGGCGAAGGTGACGCCTTCTATCGACCTCCGAGACCACGAAAGACGACGATCGAAACTCTGGCTAATCCTGGAGCCAAGACGAGAAGCACGGCTGACTTCCCTTACACTGACTCGCCTCATGGCCCCGCTGGACATCACCGAGACACCAGCTACGACAGCGGCGCTTTTCATGGCTCTCCAGCTCCCGCGTATCTCCGCGACCGACAAGGCTCCGCGGACGAGACTGGGCCACGCACTGATTATGCCGTTCGGGAAGTCGACCAGTACTATCGAGGTCCGCCGCTTAAGGAGCAGCAGAACCGCAAGCTGAAGACTGGTCCTGCTGATCCTGAAGGTCCGGCATCCGCCGCCACCAGCTGGCTGCAGACATTTTTCACCGGCTTCGCAGGGAAGAAGAAAAAGGATCAAAGCAAAGGCTTCGAGGTGGTGCGTTCAGCTCGCATGCCGCCGGGGATGCAGCAGAATCCAGCTGTAGACGATGTCGAAATGCAGACCAGCCCTGTGATGCATCAAGAACCCTATCGAGACACTCCAGATTCGCCTAGGATGGACGGAGCTCTTGCCAAGTCGAGCGTGGAACGATCGATCAGCCCGACTGACAACATAGCACAACATCCGCCGACGAACAACTTTGAATTCGGGTTCGACGATACTCCTGGCAGCGCTCGAGACAGCTTACGCGCCAGCCGCATCACCAACGTTCGTCCTGACAGCGATGCACTGGGCGCGCCTGGTCTGGAGCCGGTCAGCTACGAACATGCCGACTCGATGGGCGTTTCAGCGACTCCTGAGCGCCGCCCTAGTCAGGCAACGACGGCAAGCCGCTACACTGGACGCCGCTCAGAAGAAAGCCAAGGGGCTCATGCTGGCCCCTTGCGATACTCCGACCAGCCGATTCCTGCGTTAGCACCAATCGATTCTGTTGGTAGTCTCGACATCCCATCCCGCTTCCCCTCGAGTGCTTCCAACAACAACCCCTTCACCCAGACCGAAGGCGACCAATCCTGGCTCCGCGCCGTCGACCAGATCAGCTGGCCCAACCACAGCCGGCAACCCACCACCCAACCCACCCATCATCCCGCCCAACCCGCCCCCTCCGTCCCCCGCCGCAATTCCCGCCGCACCCCTTCCCAGGATCTCGCGGCAACCCGATACCCAGACACCACTGCCACCATCTTCGAAAATTTCGACTCCGTCCCCGACCTCTCTCTCAGCCCAGTCAACAATCAAAGCCACTCACTCGGCTCTCCTAGCCACCAACAAGTCTCCCACCGCCGAGCCGCCGACAGCATTTCCCGAAACAGTTTCGGTGCCGCTGCCGCTTTGCGTGAAACGTCCGGGAATTTGGAGTTTGGGACGCCGACGCCGGAGAGGAGGGGGAGTTTTCTTGATGATAATGATAATGAGAGGCATGAAGGGTTGTGAGGAGGTGGGGGGAGGAGGGGTTTTTTGTTTTTTTTTGTGAGGTTTAGCGTGGCGTTTGGATGGCCACGATAAACAGAAGTGGGTAATAAATGACAGACATGCATGAAACCGAAAAGACTGTGTTATGTTTTATGTAGTATAATGTGTTTGTATATATAGACTAAATTGAAAAGAAGTATAGATATTGTTAATTCAAGTCTAGTAATAATTTATATATAAGAAATTTAGGGGATTTTTCTTTTTCCTTTTTGTAGTTAACTCTAATTTAAAGTACTTTCTAAGAGATTAAAGTTAAATGTTAGGACTAAAGAGGTTATACGTAATTAGTATATAACTAGGCTCGAGTAAAGCTAGGGTCTTAATGCCTTAGGCAGGGCTTAGCGCTTAGTAATAGGCTAACTCGCCCGCTATTACGGTAGGTACGGAACGCCGGGCCTATATATACTTCCGTAGAACCGTAGATACTTAGCCTAATACTATACTATTGCCTAACTACTAATCGTCCCTCGTATAACAATTAGTAGCTTCGCTTTAGTTAGATCTATTTCCGTTTAAATAGTACCTAAGTACTAGACGAACGGGCACCTTAAAAAACTAAAAAACTCTACCGCCGCCGCTTAACGCGACCGCGAGGTCCCGTGCTAGCGGCACCGACCTACCTACCTAACTATAATAACTACCTACGCTCGATATAGATACGATTATAATAGTCCTCTAAATTCCGTATATTATCTTCCGTATATATATAGCTACGTATCGATAGCCCTCTAATCGACGGCGCCCTATAGCCCTCTAATCGCTAGACTAGGCGGCCCGCCTTCCTTATCTAGGTTTGTTTACTCTATACTAGCACCTACCGAAGCGGGTACTAGTCGAGGTAAGAGCCTATAAGTATCCTAACAGTTTCCCGACTTTAGTCTAGTTCCTTAACTCTATACTTATCCTATATTTTTATAAGATTACCGAGCCTACGCTTATTCTACAAATACGCTAGCTTCCGCACGCCCCGATTTAGACGCCTACTCGTTAAATATCGCTTTTTGCTTTAAGGAGTTCTTAGCTAACGCCGGTTACGCTAAGTTAGTGTACTAGAAGTAAAGAGACCCGCTTATAGTAGTCGTTACGAAAATTACTACGCATTATTAGCCCCTAGAAGAATATATACTACGAAAACTCTCGGATACTAGAGGCGGTACTACTCTCGGTTTCCCTTAGGATTAGGCAGTTAACCGCTCTTTAGTTACGGCAGTAGCGAAGACGCTACTTGCTCTCTATAACGAACTTATAGTTTTAGATACGATAGGACCTAACGACTTAGCGGCTCCTACTCCGGAACTAGTACTACCCTCTCTAGATGTAGTAGTGCCTACAAGTCTAAGTCCGGATACTAGCCTATAGCTACGTCGCCGTCGGACGATTTTAGTAGCTAGTACGCGACGTATTACGTACGTACGCTATAGGTCCTTACTAATTGTTTTTCCCCTAGGTCTGCGAGAACTTAGTGCCTTAGAGCTGTTACCTATAAGTAGTCCTAATTTGTCCTTACCGGTTTTAGTCGGCCCTAAGTAGTAGAGCCCTAAATAGTAAGGTCCTAAGCAATACGGTCCTAAGCCCGAGTACTAGGATACGGAGCAGTAGAGTCCTAAGTAGCAAGCTCCGGAGCGAGAGAGCCCTAAGCCCGAATAGTAGGAGCTTCCGGCCCCGAGCAGTCTAGAGTCCCTTTCTTTAGGTACTAAGCCTTACTAAGAGTCCTCTCTATTAGGTCCTAAGCTCTAGTATCGAGGTCCCGAGACATAGTAGCAAGTACCGTTAATTCTACCTATTTCTACTAAAGATACAGCCGACATGTCCTAAAATATAGACCTAGAATTCTAGCGTACGGACTTAGTATACGTAGAACCTAGTATCGAGCGGGACCTACCTCCTCGATAGTAGATATAGCGCCGCCGATCGGTTAACGCTTTCCTAGGTACGGAAGCTAGGCGTCTAGTCGCGGACCGCTAGCGAGTACGTAATACAGCCGTAGGACTATCCTCCTAGAACTAGCGTAACGGTAAGCAGCTAGCTTACGACAATCCCTAGCCGTAACGCCTACGAGAGGGCGCGCTACGCGAAGTCCTAGTACGCGAGAACTAGAACGCCGCTAGCGCTAATACGGCCGCTAAAGACGCTAACGGCGAAATCCTAAACGCCGCTAACCTAGCCGTCCTACGCAATAAGATACGCTAGCTATTTAGACAACTATTAAATTAACAAGTTATCTAAATATAGTAACTTAGGGATAAAATTAGGGACGAGATCGACTAGTTACGCTAGAGCATCCCGTTAAGCTTAGTATAAGACAGGCTCGATACCGGGAGAGCTAAACGCCTCGCGTATATAGGTTTAAACGAATAGGTCCCGTAGGAACAAGTCCTATTAGCCCTACTACCTAACCTAGTTAAGGCCTAGCCGTATTAGTTACGCTATAACGTATAACGTAATACCGAGGCTAGAGAACGCCGCTATATCTAAGGCGGTACTGCTAGCGGAGGCCCTCTAAGCCCGAGCCTAGGTAATTCCGGTACCTAGGGTAGGAACTTTAGCCCTCGAGGTTACCGCGTTAACCCGTACTATATCGACAACTTTTAGTTTAGCCGCTTACCCTATTATAGCCCGTAACGTTCTTAGCGCTTAGAGAGGTTTAACCCGATAGATATCGGGTACTTCTACCCCGACGCCCTATATATAGACTTAGACGGCTAGGACATCTATACGTATAGTAACAAGGTTACCTTTACCTCGGTATACCTGTTTTTAGACGCGGCTTACGACTACGCGGCAGTTAATTACGCCCGCATAGTACGTACCTAGCTTACTAAGTACCTACGTAGAGCTATATAGTAATAGTTTATCTACGAGCTAACGAGTAATAACCGCGATACTATCCGCGGAGGAGAGGGCATTAAGCGCTAGTATAAGGCACTAAGGGATAAGTTTAGCAGATCTATCGTCGAGGCCTAGGATAAGCTATACGCCGAATCCTATATAGTATAGGACGTACGTAACCGTAGAGTACCCTAGTAATTTATTATAAACTGCATCCGCTACGCACGCGAGGCGGGTCTTAAGATAGACCTAAATAGGCCGTACGCCCTCCTCTATTAGGCATAGCTACGATTCGAACCGCGCCTATAGGATAAGCTCGATAAGCCCTTACTAAGCGATACGATTTATACTTTTACGCGAGCCGTAGAAGACAAGTATAAAGTATAGTACCGTAGATATATATAGTCCGATACCTACGGTACGGCGCGAGGCTATAATAGATATAATAGTAAGTTATAGTATCGAAACGCTCGTAATAGCGACTAGTACGCTAATTCTTCGGGCGCGTATTGCGATACTTTAGGTCGCGGTTACGCCGGTAGGTTCGACGACTAGTACGCCGTAGTAGTACGCGGATATTGCGACAACTTAGGTCGCGGTTACGCCGGCGGCTATAGCGGCGGCTACGGTAATAAGCGCCCTAGAAATAGTAGCTATACTAATTAAAACTAGTATTAGTATCGAGACTAAGGAAACGATAAGCAAGCCCTAGCGGGGGAGGGACGCTAAAAAGAGTACACTTCTAACCGTAATAACCGAGTAGAGCTACGTAATAATAATCGGGGCTACGAAGCGCGCGGTAGCAAAGGGAACGCTAATCGTAGACGACGATAAGATAGGGGTATACGAAAGGACGTACGCGATACCTAGGGTTAGCAATAACGCGGCCGTTAAGACAATAATGCCCTACGTAACTATTACGCTAATAAGTAGGAACCGGAGCCTTAGGGCGAAGATCCTACCTCTATCCTATACCCGAGTTTATACTTACGCCCGCGATTAAGCTTACGCTACTCTACGAGGCTAGTAAGCCCGCACTCCGTACCGATATATTTTAACGACTAGGTAGACATCTACTAGGGATTAGACGACGTAGATAATAACGCCTCTTTATAGGACTCCGTATTAGTATACTATAGCGAAGTTCCGCTACTATCGCCCTTCTCCCTATATATCGGTAAGTACCTTCCCCCGGCTATAGAACCCTTCGCTACGATATAGCCTTTAAAGTTCTTATACTTAAATTGTAGTATAAAATTCGATAGCAATAATCTCTTATAGGACTATAGGCGTACTAAGTACGCTACGGAGCTAACGCCTAAGAGAGATAGCGTAGAAGAGGACGCTAGGCTTATTAAGTCCGCTATATTACTAAAGATTAAAGGAGGATACGCGTTTCGAGGCTATTATTATCTACGTATAGTCGTACGCCTATAGAAGGACGGTACCGAGTACGCGGTCTGCTTAGATATAGGCGCTATAGTATTACTTATCGACGAGGCCTTCCTACGCTAGATACGCCCGGATATCGAGCGTAAGCGTCTAGTAGCTCTACTAAAGGTTAAAGGCGTAGGATCTACGGACATTAGCGAGTACGTAGATCTCGACTTTTAGGTACCGGGAATCGTTAAGAGCTCTAAGGTTATCGCCTATATACGTTATAAGGTATATATCGTTAAGGAGCTTAGCGCTAAGTTCCTTATAGTAATAGACATTATCGGCCCGGAAGGCATTAAGATTGATATACTATACCGTACGGCAACGATTAATTCCTATAAAAAGGCGAAGATTCCCCTACTAGTAGGCCGCAAAGATTAGGTTAAGTTCCGTACGGTTATATACTCCGGCGAGGAGAACGTCGTTCTAGCGCCGTAGACGGTAACTTCGGTACCTGTCTAGTTTAGAATAGACCTTCCTATAGACCGAGACGTAGCCTTCTACCCGCAAAACTAGGAGCTTAAGAATAAGGCCCTAACTATCTACGCCGCAGTAGTAGACGCCGCTATAAATTTCGTATAGGTCCGTAACGATACGGATCGGCTATAAACTCTACTACGATATATAAAGATAGGGTATATACGCGAGTGTAACTACTACGGTTGCTACTATATCGCGCCTAAAGATTATAGCGTAGCCGGCCTTCCGCTACCGGATATACCGAACCCTACTAAGGAGACGCAACTTTTTAATAGCGTAACGGCCTATAGTACCGAAGAGTAGATATAACGTATCGAGGCTATAGTAAAGAAGCACGAGTATTATAGTAGCTGCCTAGAAAGCACCGACAAGTCCTATAAGCTAGCCGCTATGCTATA